GGGGGTTCAAGGGTCCAGTGCTTACCAGAATGGAATCGAACTTGTACGTCCGGTTGAAGTTCTCGATGATGTAGCCCATGCCGGTCTGGGTCAGGCCCCGGCCTCCCCAGATCTGGACGGACTCGTCGGCGATCTCGTGGGCCATGCGCGTGGCGCTCATCTTGAGCAGGCCGATGGGGCCGCTCAGGTGCTTGGCCTGCTCCGAGTAGGGCATGTGGCACATCTGGTACGTGATGGTCTCGAGCCACGACTGGTGGGCCTCGACGAGAGCGATCATCTTGGCGAGTCTAGGAAAGGAGTGGGGAAGATTGTCAGCATGCCACTTCCGGGGTCCGTCGCTGTTCGCGAGGTAATGGTTTGGAGGGGCAGGTTAACTCACTTTTGCCGGATGACGGGCTGGTCGATGAGCCTCTTTCCAAACACCAGGCGCTGGTGGGCCCACTTGAGGCACTCCTCGACGACGGTGCGGCAGTTGCGGATGGTGCCGCAGGCCATGGTCCAGCGCTCGTGGTTGAAGTTGCTCAGGATGACGTAGATGCCCTTGTTCTCCTTGCCCAGGAGGTGCTCGACGGGCACCTTGACGTTGTCGAAGGTGATGTAGGTGGTGCCGGCGGTGGGCGAGTAGCTGGTCTTGATGGCCCTGGTCTCGACGCCCTCGCCGCGCTCGATCAGCAGGACGCTGAGGCCCTGGTCCGTCTGGACGCCCGTGACGAAGTAGTCGCTGTAGATGCCGTTGGTGATCCACTTCTTGGTGCCGTTGACGATGTAGTGCTTCCCGTCGGGCGTCTTGACGGCCGTGGTGCGCAGGCGGGCGACGTCGCTGCCGGCAAAGGCCTCGGTGATGGCCAGGCAGATCATCTTCTGGCCGCTAAAGACCTCGGCGGCGATGCGGTCCCGGAGCGGGGCGTTGGCGTAGTTGAGTATGGCCGTCAGGCCGATGACCATGCCGGCCATGTTGCCGTCCTGGAAGCCGCGGGCGTTTGAGCGGGACAGCTCCTGGGCCATGATGAGGTCGTGGAAGTAGTCGAACTCCTTGCCGTCGACGGCGCCGCCCAGCAGGTCGACGCCGTGCAGGTGGCGGCCGGGCCCCATGCGCATCTGCAGGACCCCGGCCTTGGACATCTTCTCGATCAGCTCCTGCGAGATGCGGGTGCCGTCGCGCTCCTTCTGCTGGGCCTCGGGCGTGATGTGCGTGTCGACGAACTCGCGTAGGGCCCGGCGCAGCCGGTGGTGGCTCTCCTTGTAGTAGGGATTCTTGAAGGTCGGCGTGAGCCAGAGCGGCTCGGCGTAGGGCACCAGCGAGAGGTCTCCGGGCTTGGGCGTTATGACGGATGGCTTCTCCCCCGCGACGGTGCCGATGGCGAGGTCGGCGTACTTTGTGAGCCTGAAAGGGATGGTTCGAGGAGTCAGCCATCTGACAAGTGCTTCTTGCTGGAGGGGGCCTTTGGTGAGAACTTACACCTCATGCCTGTGGAGGTTGTAGAAAGCGCTTGTGGCATCGGTGCCAGCGACCTGTCGGAGGACTGCCTCGCCGCCAGGGTGGGCGTCCAGGAACTCGGACGCATCGTAGACGACGGCGTCGATGATGAACCAAACACTGTCCTCGGTGTTGTGCTTCTTGACCTCCTCGCGGGAGAAGGTCTTTTCGGGGACGCCGACAGCCATTGTGTTGTGTGTAATCAGAGAAGTCGCGCGTACTACTGGCTGTGTAATCCTGAGCTGTGGTGGAGGCTCAAGGGCGGCTCAGAAGCAGCTCACGCGTTTGTCTGAGGGAGGATGGGTTGGGTGTCCGTCAAGAACGATAGTGAGGAATGGGAAAAGGTGAAAGAGTTCGAGTACGGAAAGCTCAAGGTCAAGCACGGCTTGGGATCGAGGCGCGACTCTCGGCTTTTTTTTGTCCAGGCCTCTACGAACCAAGGGATCAAACAATTGCGGGCACCTTTACCGAGCGTCCAGCGTCCAGCTGACCCCAGGCCGTCGCGGTCGCAGCGGGGAGACAGGGGCTGAACCCCGGCGGCCCCATGATGTCAGCCCGGTTACCTCGGCCTCCCTCGGCTCGCCTTAGCCTGGGGTCGGGGTTTGGCGGGGAGCGCGCCAGGGGAGCCGAGCTTGGTAATTGCCAGGGCTCCCATTGGCCGGACAGCTCCTAGCTGTGTGCGGCTGGCGATGGAGGTCTCTTGTCGCGGCGTCTGGGCTCGAGTCAACGCTCAGGCTGTGCGTGTCGGCATGTGACAAAATGCCACCAGCTGCCCGTTCAGAGGCATCACAGTCCAAGCCTCGCTCACTCAGCTGAGGTTACGTCCGCTTTATACCTGTGAGGGATGGGCACCTTGTTGGCTGGCGACTTTGCAAGTGCCAGTCATCAGGGTGCTTGCGACCAGCAAGGTGCTCGTTTTTCTGTTGTTTTCTAAAAGCACCACATAAAAGTGGCCAACAAGGTGTCCGTCGATTATCTCACGCTCGTGACCATTGGCGAGAAGCCGTGAGTGATGGATAAGTGACTTCTGCGGTAGGCTCTAACCGCGAGGGCTCGTTCTCTTCATGCCAACAATTCTCGGTCACGAAAGTCTTCTTGTCGATATCCTATTGAACGGTGCGGCCTATCAGCCCTCGCTCATTTTTGGAGCTGCCGCCTCTGTTGGTGAACTGGGGCCTCACTGTTTATTCAGTGTGCATATTTTCGCGTGTGCACGTCGAGACGGACCGAGATGCGCCGTTCCTCGGACCAAACTGGCTGGTGCTGCAGGGCACTGCTGTCCAGGGCCGACAAGGGAATCTCCGGGCATTAATTCGCTGGAATTGCGGCGGAAATGCAGGCTGGTGACCCACTCTGGGCAGGCGGTCTAGAGCGATTGCGGTGTGGCCATTCAATCTTCTTCCCGCGCGGCTCACTGCCCATCTGCAAGACCATGAACTCCTGATCCAACACCTATGGCTTTTGCCCCGCTCCGGCCGATACAGGATCGAAAAATAACACAGTGGCCAGTCATAGTGCACTCACAAACGTCCATGGTTCTTGGATGTGGTCGATTGGCTGTCCTAGCTCCTCTCGTCTCAGTCCGGTCCTGCTCCCGGAACGTCTCCTGTATGTCAGCTGTCATCGCCCTTCTCTTGTCTCAGGCACACCCTCTTCACTCGCACGCCGAGTGTGCATCTGCCGAGCACTATGCGCTCCGCCGATGGGTGCGCAACCGCCGTCTTTCGTTGCATGCCAGCTTCCTTTGCCTTCATTGGCTGCGCCGCAGCAGGCACCAGTTGATCCAACATGTTCTGGGCCCTGTTGCCCCAGTGGGTGTCTTATCAGCCGGTGTTGGCTGTTGTTGTGCCCCTCCACACCCCTCCCTCTCAGTCTCGTCATCCGCCCTCCCTCATGGCTGTTTCACCTGGCAGGGCATGCCCAGGAAGCAAGCGCCGGTCTTCTCGTGAGGCTTTTTCTGTCTTTGGTTTTTTTCTTGGTCGATAAGGGGCCGGAGTCGTCACAATGGGGAATAGAATGGAGGTGTTCCCGCTGGAGTGGCGGCGGAACAGGGATGGCGGCTCTGCAGGTCCTCCTCCGAGCTAGCCGTGTGTGGATGAATATCACCAAAGCCAGACACGGGGCTGTCCTGCGCCCACCAACCAGGAACTTACCTGGCGTATTCATTACCGGTCATTTGCCCCCTCTTGTGTTCTCATCATTGGTGTTGCAAGGTGCACCTTTGTTATTTAGCCTCAAGGCGGTCATGGTATTCATACCGCTATCAGCTTTGCCCCTCGTGACTGACTACACCGCTCTTGGGCTTTGTTTAGTTCTATCACTTGCACTATATATAAGATACCTACATAACTTTCGCCTGCCCCGTTTGGCCTGAGAGAGGCTTTTTCTATTTTGTACCCCCAAGCCATCCCCCAATAAGACAACACTGCGGTGTTATTATCTGACATTTGTGTTGCGCGCCTAACCCTACATCTCTCTTTCATCACAACCTTTCATATTACGTCGTTCCTGCCAGTGCCTCAGTGGTGCCGACAGTCATCATGGACGCCTTCTCCATGTCATACACGAGTGCCTCCCACAGGGATCTCTCTCGTATATACCAAGATCTGAAGGGCGTGCGCTCACACAGCATGTTCGAGACAGCAAAAAGCCATCTATCCAAAGGCAACAAGATGCAGGATATTTCAGCCAAGGTACACCACAAAAAGCCTTCCCCGATGACCGGACCCCGTTCAGTGGTTTTGCGGCGGTGACTACTGCAGGCATGGGTACCCCTGGCGAGATGTACCGCGTGCCACCAAGGGCGGCATGTATCATGAGCGCGCACGTGGGGAAAAGCCACGCCTGTCATCTCCTGGCAACTGGGTGAAGTGGCGCACCTGCTAACACGGCCTACCTCCACAGTATGTCACGCGGAATCTAGGTGGCTCGCCCCATATCGGGGTCGTTGGTGCGGGCCTTGCGGGCCTTAGATGCGCCGACGTACTACTGAAGAATGGGTTCCGCGTCACGATAATCGAGGGGAGGAATCGCGTGGGAGGACGGGTTGTCCAGAAGAAGCTGCCCAATGGCCGTCTGGTGGACGGTGGTCCCAACTGGATCCACGGGACCGAGGACAACCCTATTATGGACCTGGCCAGGGAAACGGATACGAAAACCGGTGCCTGGGACACGACGTCCTACGCATTCGACGAGAACGGCCATCTCTTGCCAACCGCCGAGGGAGAAAGGTATTCTACCCTGATGTGGGAGATCATCGGAGACGCCTTCAAATTTTCCAACGCCCACTCTGCCGAGATCGACGCCTCTGAAAGCCTTCTCGACTTCTTCAAAAGGGAGGTCGAGAAGAGGATCCCAGACTCGTCTGCGGATTTTGAAAAGCAGCGGTATATCCTGCTGCAGATGGCCGAGCTATGGGGCGCTTTCATCGGGAGTCCCATCTCGAGACAAAGTCTGAAGTTCTTTTGGTTGGAAGAGTGCATAGAAGGAGGTTAGTGCTATGCCTCATCTCCCCGATGAGACGGCGGTGTGTATTTTGGAAGCGTGTTGACGCTAACACTGCATCATCTTAGAGAATCTCTTCTGTGCCGGCACATATCAGAAGATTCTGGAGCTGGTTGCGAAGCCCGCATTAGCCGAGGCGACTATCAGATACGAGACAATCGTTTCGCGTGTCACCACCAAAGACGAGGCTAGCGGCACTGTCAAACTCTCGACTTCTGGTGGCGAGGTCCTCGAGTTTGACGAAGTGGTATTCACAGCGCCTTTGGGGTGGCTGAAGAAACACTTGGACGCATTCGAGCCGCCACTGCCTACGCGCCTCTGCAACGCAGTTGCAAATATCAGCTACGGCTGTCTTGAAAAGGCGAGTCCGCGTTCATGTGCCAACATACCAAAAGCAACAAGCCCTAACGCAGCCTTGAAAATAGGTCTATATCAGCTTCCCGAGAGCATTTTGGCTTCCTACTGATGCAAAAGCGCGGTCCGTGCATGGATTCTGCCAATGGCTTTCCCCGGGTTACGCCAACGAGACAAACCCTGCCCGATGGACTCAGGAGGTGGTTGAGCTGGCGTCACTCCCGGGAGATACTGCTCACCCCACGCTACTTTTCTACACGTACGGGAAGGAGTCCGAGCACATAACGAGCACCCTCGACTCACTATCAGGATCAAAGCAGAAGCAAGAGGACTTCATCTTCAAGTTCTTCGAGCCATACTTCTCCCGGTTGCCGCACTATGACTGCGGCTCGGACGACTGCCGACCCGCGTCCTTCCTGGCGAGCTCATGGCTCCGGGACGACCTCGCGGGCAATGGCAGCTACGCTAACTTCCAGGTCGGGCTCGAGAAGGGCGACGAAGATATCCGCGTCATGCGCGAGGGCCTCCCGCAGCGGGGCCTCTGGCTGGCCGGCGAGCACACGGCGCCCTTTGTCGCCCTCGGCACCGCGACGGGCGCCTACTGGAGCGGTGAGAACGTGGCGCAAAGGCTCGCCGAGGCGTATGGGCGTGAGTAGAGCGAGCCATCTGAGAAAGTGGGAACATGGCGGTGCTGCGTTGCGTAAACGTCCACTCGCGGGCTGGATTCATGATTGTCATTGTATTGGGGATTTATTGTTCGGCATTGGCTATCAACTAATCCATCTGGTGATGATGTGCGTGCACCATGTCTGCTTGATAGCACAGAGCCTCGAAACTGCCCTGCTCAGAACGATCCTAAACCGTACTGCTCGCACGTCATCTAACTGCAGTCGAAGGCAACACGGCATTCGGTGTCCCCGTTAGTGCTGCGGCACCTTCCCGTCCCGAGGTCGGTGCTCGTTACGTTGTACCGGAGAATGCCCTCCAGACGGGGCAGTCTGTCGTTTTCGCTTCGGAGCCTGATGGTGACGGGATACGGAAGCTCGGAGCTGATGGAAGTGCTGCCCCGGATCGAGCGGCGCCCGAGTTGGCGGCAGGTGTGGTCGACGATGACCGCGTCTCGGGTTTCCGGCAGCACGGGCAGCGCGATCCTGTAGGTCTTGAGGATCAAGTTACAGGTTCCTTCCACCCCGCAGTCCCCCTGTCGCTTGTGCAGGGCATTCTCTGTAGGGCCGGTAGCGGGCTGCAGCGCGGCCGCGAGGGCGCCTAAGGCGAGCATGGCCGGCGCAAGGAGGGTGCTGGACAATTTCATTGTGGTATTTTCTTTGGTTTTTTTCTTGTGGTGTTGAGTGTCTGATGGGATTCGTGCTCCTTTGCCTGACATGCTGTTCTCAATCTCATCAACTGGCCCCGGAGGAGGAACGCCTTATATAGACGAGCCAGGCAAACTACATTGGTCTCTAGCACCTCAGTACGCGATATTTCCCTAGGCTTCCATCCGGCCTCACTCTTTTCTGAAGGAGCTTGAGAGTGCTTTGGAACGAAGGGTGACTTCCTAAATAAGAAGTCGTTCTTGGTTGTTCCGGCCCCCTCCTGACGCGCCAATCAGGTGTAATATTTGGTTTTTTTTGGTTTTTTTAGCATTCGAATTTTACGCGATAAGAGATGGAGGGTAAGATGTATCCAGAAAGGAGAGTGATTACACCGAAAGCCTTCCTCTATCCCCATTCGAAACGGGCAGGCGGCAAAAGGGCTCAAGAGGAATGTGATGCTGGGTGCCTGGTTTGCTAGCCGGGTTAGGGTTTCGCATGCAGATGCAATGGAGCTGCTGCCCCTCCAAAATTTTAGCGCGGCACCTCGGCGGGATGACGGAGATCGTCAAAGCTTCCATTGAAGTTGACTCACCCGCCAAAGTCTCCCTCCCAGCCAAGAAACCTGACAGTTGCCGTAACGCTTCTGACAACACCCACATCAGATTTGGCAGACGCCGCTCTCCTGTCCAATTGGATCTACCATCGATCGACCCGGCTGCTATTTAAAACCTGTTTGCGACAATCGCGCGTCACCATGGCGCCCGCGCAAGCGAACTTCGCGCCGAGCTTGGACAAATTCCGCAAGTCGCTCAAGGCGCAGCCGCTCGAAGCCTCCATCGAGAGCCTGATCGCGTATGCGGCCCCTCCCCCGCGCCCCTCTCTCGGGCCAGGGCAGACGGGCCAGGCCGGCCATTGTGTTCCAGGGCTAACCGGCTTGCACTCGGGACCAGGCTGCTCAAGCGCCGTCAGATCAAGACCCCGCAGCAATGCGCCGTCGCGACTGCCCACATCCTCCTCCAGGTGGTCGCTAGGGGCGACTGGAAGGATGTGGACCAGCTTCTTGACAGGGTGCAGCAGGTCGGCCGCAGGGTCGGGAGCGCGCGGCCCAAGGAGCTCGTCATTGGCAACATCACGAAGCGCGTGCTGGGCCTGATCCGCGACGAGGCCATGGAGGACCGCAACGCCGACGACGCCCAGAGCGATGCGAAACCCCCAGCCCCGGCCGCTACCCAGGAGCCCGAAGCCCCCGCCCGATTGCCGCGTGTGGCTACCTTGGCCTCGTTGCCGTCGCACATCACTGCTCAGTCCATCTTCAGCCTTCTCTCAGACCCGACCGGAGCACACTCCAGCGCGGGCGGGTCGCCGTTCTTCAGAATGTCGGGAGCCTCCACCCCCATGGGCGCCGGCCCCCAGGGCGCAGGCACCCCGACAGCGAACAGCACGGCCAACATCGCATCACTGCGCACCGAGGTCCTGGACGGTATCGACGAGATCATGGACGAGATCTCACAGGCGGACGAGCAGATGGCGGCGTTTGGTGACGTCTACATCAACCCGGGCGACTACGTCATGGTGCACAGGCCGACGCCGACGGTGGAAAGATTTCTGGCGAGAGCGGCGAGTAAGCGTAAGTTTACTGTTCTCGTTGCGCGCGTCGACGAGGATGATGAGGACGTTGCCGCCGCCTCGGCTCTTGCCGCAACAGCAGCCCCGCCTTCAGACCCCTCGGCAGCAGCAGCAGCCGCGGTGCCGTACGCCGCGCTTCGGAAGAAACTCGCTGCGTATGGCGTCCCCGTCGTCAACTTGGCTGGGATGGGGGTCATGTCATACTTCCCCTTGGCAACCAAGGTCGTGCTCGATGCGAGAGCCATCACGGCGAGTGGAGGCCTGGTGGCTGATGCCGGAGCGGGTCTTCTCGCGCGCGCAGCCAAGGAGTTCAACCGACCGGTCCTAGCGCTCGCCGCCGTATACAGGTTGTCGCCGGCAGACCTGGACGAGCCGGAGCCGGTTCTAGAGTGGGGTGATCCCTCGCCACATGCCGACTTCGCCGACGGAGACCTGCTTGATGGCATTGACATCAGGACTCCCGCCATCGAGTACCTCGGCTCAGAAATGGTGGACATTTACATCACGAACCTGTAAGTTCACGTCTCGATCACGTCTGCCCGGCTCTCCCGGAAGATAAATATGATTTCTAACGCACCTTGGCTTGCTATTTCAGGGGAGCGCATTCCCGGCATTACCTCCAGAGTGTGATCCGGGATCATTACAAACAGGACGATATCGATGTATTCATCCAGTAAAGAAAATGAAGGAAAAATAAATAAGGAAACCAATGCGCCATCGTATTCTGGTAGTGTCGTCTCGGCGCGTCTAGGTCCCAAGCAGCCTTGCTGCATACCTGGCCTCGAATATTGCGATGATCTATGAATGCCCTGGGCGCATCTCTTGTTGCGTAGCCAGAGAAACTTTGATTTTTTGGCTCGTCGATGTGATCCGCATGCACCCGCCTGGTTCATTCTGGCTTCCAACACGACTTGCACAAAGCCGTAACGCATAGGACACGGTGTGTTCGGTGTGATATTGGTCCGGGTCTGACAATGGGTTACTCCGACCCCCGTTCAACCACCAATTGTGCTCCAACCTGCCGAGCGCTGCTGTGCCTTTGTTCTTGCGTTCGGGCTTCCAGCAGTCGGGAGTGCCGAGGCTTAGCTCTCCAGCCCAGTCGTTCGAGTCTGAGCTGGAGCGCGGGCTATGTGGGACTAGCGCTGTACGGTGCTGCCAGTGGCCGCGTCAGCGCAATCGTTGCCCTGCAGGCTGGGGGTTGGCCCTTGAGTCACACAGCCACGACGCAACGATCTGCTCCCCCTTGGGCAACCCCAACCTCGCCAGCCCAGCAGACTGATTGGGCTGGAATTCGAGTCACTTGTGCCCGTCCAGCTCTCAGACTGCACCACCTGTACATTACCACCTCCCACCTCTCGAGGCATCCTTTGTGCCCGTATGCGAAAGCGAAGCTCTGCGGTTGCCCCACCCACCCACTCCCTACATCAGAGGAGGCACCGCCTCCACGCATGAGGCAGACAGGGTTCCGGGGCGGGCTAGCTCAGCAAGCTCCATGAGGACCCCTCGCGGGAAGGCTTAGCATCCATAGGTGCATCGTTGGAGACACATGGTGCGAGAGCGAAAGAGGATGGGGAAGAAGGTTGATGATAGGCCGTGGCTCACGTAAATGGTGCGTCTCACGTATCCATTGCATTCCATCGGCTGCCTGTTCCACCTTTTGTCAACGCATACCTGCCCTACCTAGGTACTGTACGTATGGGATGCCACGGCTCGATATTTCTCGAGGCAACCGCACGCTCTCTCATTCTCGCACGTCAAAGTCGTGCTCTCTCTCACCTGAGCAACGCTCCTCCTTCTCGCCTTACGGGCATCCAGCCATTCGCTGCCGATATTATTCCCCGACCGGCCTTTTGAAATCCCACAGAAATCCCACAGCAATCCTGTAAACTGCCGTCTGAGTGAGACAGCATACGACTCTGGAAAAGAACAACAGCGGACTCGTAGAACGAGGCAGGCCAACAACAAAGCATGGTGGCCGAACCCGACCGCGCCGGCCGTGGGACGGCGCGCTCCCACGATGACGCGCCCCCGCCGCCGTACAGCGAGACCGACGTCTTCTCCAGCGCCGGGGCGCCCACCCCCATGTCACCCCAGTCGGCAAACGCCAGGCTGAACTCCCACGGCGACAACGTCTCGTCCGCCGGCCGCTCCGCCTCGTCCTCGGGCGAGCCCATCTACACCCCGCCGCTGACCCCCCAGAGCTCCCACCAGCAAACTTTTGGCGACGGCGGCATCCCCAATGGTGGTAGCCACATGGTCTCCCCCGCCGCCGCGGCCTACTTTGACTCCAGGCCGCCGCGGACGGAGGGCTTCGTCCGCGGATCCGGCACCCACATCCACCACACGATCCGGGTCAAGGTCGAGAGCGCCCCAGACGACTTTCCGTATCCCGAGGTGCTCGCCCGGCGTGACGTGACCGTGGACGACTGGCACACGTTCATCAACTACCTTTTGCCCAACTTCTCTGTGCAATCAAACTCGACCATCATCGACCGGAAGCTCCGGGCCGAGGGCCTCAAGGGTGACGAAGACGACGGCAGCAGTCTCGGCAACAACAATAACAATAGCAACAACAACAACGGCAACAACGACGACACCCGCTCGACAGCAGGTGGCAGGGTCCACATAGAGGCCCAGCTGGACACGATTCGGACGTCGGTCCCGGTAGAGACCCGAGACGCGGCAGCGCTCAGGGAACAGGTCGAGCGAACGGTGTGCGAGTGGAACGGGGGCTTTTTCGGCCCTCGAGACGTTACCATCTTTGTGCAGGTCGGCCCCGAAGACTGCAGGGTGCCCGGGGCCTGGGACGGTGCCTTTGACCAGACCACCGCCGACGCCACCGCCACTCCTGGGCAGGGCGAACACCCGGCGGGCGGGTGGCAGAACTACTCGGGCTACCCCCCTCAACACCCGCCGTTCCAGTTCGACGACCAGGCCGCCGCCCAGCAGCGCAGCGGTTTCCGCTTCGGCAGCCTTCACGTGGGCCAAAACGGCATCTCGTACGGGGACAATGTGGTTATAGACTCCAACCAGGTACGCATCGGCAGCTTCACGGCCGACACCAGCGGCATCAGGCTCAACGGGCGGTCGCTGTTCCCGGGGGTCCCGGGGATGGACAGACACTCCCCGTCTCCCCTCCACCCCGCAACCGTGCCCCCTATTCCCGGCCACCCCTATTTCCACCCACCCATGATGTACCACGGGCCGCCCCCTCCGCCCGGGCCGGGGATGGGCCCCTTCAGCCGCAGCATGCCCCACATCCCCGGCGCGTTCCAGGAGCCGGGCCCGTTCCATCCGCAACCGAACGCGTTCGACAGCGGAGCGGCTCCCGACCGCGGGCGTGAGCCCGCCAAAGGCCGCGGGTCGCACTCGCGCAGCTCGTCGGCCTCGAGTGAGAGCAGCGTGTCTAGCGCCTCGTCCGGCTCGACCGTGTCCTCGGACGACTCGCTCCCGGCGTACGACGAGCTCACCGACGCGCAGCTGCCCGCCACGCGGGACCTGCTGCTGCGGTGGCTGGCCCACCCGGAGGAGCCCATCACCAAGGAGAGCGCGCGGGCGCTCAAGCAGCAGATCAAGCAGGCCGACAGGGACCAGCGGCAACGACAACAGCAGCAACAACAGCAGCAGCAGCAGCAGCAGCAGTCGTCGCCGCCCCAGCCCCTGGCCAAGACGGACCGGGCCGCGCTCCGGCGGGAGATCAAGGACCTGATCAAGCAGTTCAAGGCCCTGAAGAAGGCGCAGCGGCAGCAGGCGCGCCAGGTGCGCCGCGAGCGCAAGCAGCAGCGCCGAGCCGAGAAGCGCGAGCTGAAGCAGCGCAAGCACGAGCTCCGCAAGTCCAAGCGGAAGCTGAAGAAGGAGCAGGACCGCCAGGCCGCCAAGGAGGCGAAGAGGGCGGGCCGCGACCGCGCTGGGGAGGGGTCCGCCTCAGCCGGAGCCGTTCCCGGGCATGGGTTCCCTTTCTTTTCCGGAGCGCAGCGAGCGCAACAGCAGCAGCAGCAGCAGCAGCAGCAGCAGCAGCAGCAACAAGAGCAACAACGGCAACAACAACAACAACAATGGCAACAACAACAACAACAACAACAACAACAACAACAACAACAACAACAACAACAACAGCAACAGCAGCAGCAACAGCAACAGCGGCACGCCGACCCTAGAGTTGGAGATCTACCACACGTCCCTGGATCCTTCCCATTCGATGGATCGTCCGGAGGGCGCGGCTGCGGGCCCGGCCAGCGGGGCGGGGGAACGTTTGGCGGCTGGGGAGGGCCCGACAGGTGCGGCGGCGGGCCGGGCCGTTGGGGTGGTTTCGGGGGCTTCCGAGGCTTCGGTCGCCCCGGAGGGCCGCACACCCACCACGGGTTCGGCGGACCCGGCCCCGGGGGCTTTGGCCACCCCGGGCAGCAGCACGAGTTTGGCGGTCGGGGGGGCTTCGGCAGGGGCTTTCCCTTCGGCTGCCGCGGAGGAGGCCGTGTTGGTGGCGGTGGCGACGGGGACCAGCGGACCCCCGGCTCCTGGCCCGCCGAGGGCGACCCCCACGCCGCCTCGCGCGCAAAGCACCGCGAGGCGGACCAGCTCGAGGCGCAGATCACGCAGCTCGTGGCCAGGATGAGCGAGCTCGGGCCCGAGACGAAGGACCCGTCCGCGTCCCGCCCCGGCACCGCCCGAGCCGACAAACCGGGCTCGGCCGGCGGCGAGGGCTCGGGGGAGAAGAAGGGGCTACAGGACGGACAGACGAAGAGGCACCATGAAGACGCCATGACGCTCCAGCACGAGATTGCAATGTTGGAAGACCTAGTCGCCCAGATCAGGCTCGAGGCGGACGGCGACTTTGCGAGGGAGCTCGCGCAGGAGGATCAGAGGAATTTCAACGGGGCTTGAATACTTTGTCAGGTGGTGGATATCAGGGCGGCGGCGGTTTAAGTTTAATGGCTACAGTACCTACCTAGGTGCCAGGTAGTTGGTGACAAGGACGTCACTTGGTTTTGGTTAGCGTTCTTTGATACCTTGGGATAGACAGACCCAGCACTCGCTCCAGTTTGGAACAATGTCACGCATGATTTTTAACGACCTAATTTTTGTCTACGTCAGATTACCTGATATATGATTCCCGCATACCCATGACCCTCGGTTGGATTCCCAGAGAGATGCAACAGAAAAAGAAGAAAAGTCATAATATTCGAATATCCCGCACCCCTTTTTTTTTTTTTTCTCTTCTCTCATTTGCTTTCCACCCTCTCCACCAGCTCCCCGACGCCCAGGGCCCTGCCGACCTTGACCTTCCTCATCTGGGCGCCGCCGTCGCCGGCCTTGCCCACGTCGCCGACGGGCTCGCCCTCGTCCGGGGCCTCGGCGCCGTCGGCACCGGCGGCGGTGGCCTCCTTCTCCAGGCGGGCCTCCTCGCGCAGCTGCTCGCGGATGAGGCCGAGGTCGAGCTTCATGCAGTAGGCGTCCTCGCCGTCGGCGTAGTACTTGCTCTCCGTCTTCTCGTTCTGGAACCCGAGCGTGGTCTGGTACAGGTGGATGGCGGCCTGGTTGGAGACGCGGACGTGCAGGGAGACGTAGTGGGCGCCAAAGGTCTCGACCATGGCGAGTTCTGTGGGGGTTTTTTTTTGTCGTTTCTTGTTAGCGTGGGTGTAATCCTTTTTATCGCCTTGGAAAGGGCAAATAAACAACAACTCACGGCTCTGCCTCATCAGCTTCTCGGCGATGCCCAGCCTCCGGTGGGTGCGCATGACGCTCAGGCTGGTGATGTGGCCGTGCTGGATGCCGTCGGCCGGGTCCTCCTCCATCTTTGCGAGCACGTAGCCGACGATCTTGGGGTAGTCGTAGGGCGTCTTCTTGGGGCGCGACACGTCTACGGCCACGTACGAGAGCTGCGGCCACGAGAGGGCATGGTACAGGTAGTACTTGAGGAAGTAGTTCTCGGGCAGGTTCTCGAGGTTGGCGTGCTGTATCAGCGGGATGTCGGACGGCTGGAGCACGCGGATGTCCATTTTTTTGTGCTTGGTGTGTGTGTCGCTATAGTATCTAGGTCGGTAGGGTAGGTAGGTGCCTAGAGACAGGTAGTGTGGTATCGAAGCTGTCGTGGTTGCTTGTGCGCCGACGTCGTCTGAGGGATTCAGATCTCGATTGGCTCTGGGCTCTGGGCGGATGGTCGGACGTGAGGGTTGGGCTCGTCGCGTCGCGTCAACTGTAGTCGGATCGGAACTCTGGTGTCAGACAAGGCCGAGTGTCGCGCCGTTTGCTGCAGGCGTCTGTCCGAGGTCGAGTGTTCAGGCCGTCAACCGACAGTCGAATCTAGACCCCCCACACTCTGCGCCTGCTGCAGCTTGGGCGGATATCGGACTGCTTTCTGCCGAGAGCTGGCGGTCGATAGCGGGGCGGACCCCCACCCGTGGCCAACGCCGCGGGGCACAGAAGCTCTCAATTCACCGGGGACCAGCAGCGGGGCAGCCCAAGGTTGATCGACTTTGAAGCTGATTTTCCGCTTTGGATGCGCTTCCCGTCGTCCCGTCGCTCCATGCGATGCAACAGCCGCCCTGTCTCCAGTGTCGAGGGGGGGTGGGAATCTTAACTTTGGATGCAAGAGGTTGGGATATAAATAATGCGTGTTTCCTTTCCTTTTTTCTTTTTCTCGTCTCGTCTTGTGTGAAATCCTTCCTGTTCTTTTCTTCTCTGTAGACTATTTTCCCATTTACATGGCCGACGGAAATCGCAAAGACATCTACACCACGCGCAGCACTACCCCTACTCTAGTCTAATACACGAAATACGAAAGAACCAACAAGGGCATCATGGTTGGCCTTTTGGCAGGAAAGCTTGCGGTGGTGACGGGATCCTCTCGTGGTACGGCAAACCGAACCAGACAGGCTCCGGAGAAGGGGGCAAGCAGATTACTACCTTGCTGATACCAGCCCATAAAAAACATACACACAGGCATCGGAGCCGCCATCGCCAAGAACCTCGCCGCCAAGGGCAGCAACCTGGTGCTCAACTACACGAACCCCTCGTCCGAGCCCCTGGCCAAGGAGCTCGCCGACTCGCTCGCCAGCAAGCACGGCGTCAAGACGTACGTGGTGCAGGCCGACCTGGGCACGCCGACGGGGCCGGCCGAGTTCGTGCAGCGCATCAAGGACCAGATCGCCGGCGGCAGCAGCAGCAGCGGGCCGCTCCAGATCGACATCCTCGTCAACAACGCGGGCGTGGCGCTCAACGACAAGATCACGGACCTGACGGTCGAGCAGTTCGACAAGACGTACCGCGTCAACGTCCTGGGCCCCCTGCTCCTCATGCAGGCCGTGGAGCCTCACCTGCCGCGCGACCGGACGGGCAGGGTGGTCAACCTGTCGTCCGTCTCGAGCACGTGCGGCTTCGTGGGCCAGAGCGTCTACGGCGGCACAAAGGCGGCGCTCGAGGCCATGACGCGCACGTGGGCGCGCGAGCTGTCGGAGCGCTGCACCGTCAACGCCGTCAACCCGGGCCCCGTCATGGGGCCCATGTACTCCTCCAACACGGAGGAGTTCAAGGCCGGCATCAAGGGCTGGATCGAGCACACGCCCCTGGCCCGCCCCCGCCCGGGCATCGACAGCCAGGAGCTGGTCGACGACGCCCCCAGCAGCGGCGGCAGGCCCGCCTACACGGACGAGGTCGCGGGCATCGTCGGCATGCTGTGCACCGAGGACGCCGCTTGGTGCACGGGGCAGGTCGTGTGCGCCAACGGGGGCATGATCATGCTCCACTGAGGGATGGATTGCGCCGACTTCGGAGAGGGCTTTGTCTGTTGCCCCACCGTCTTGCTTGTATATATACATACTTATAGCTGAGGAGAACCGGGAAGGAGCCGTGTTTGGACTGAGCTCGAGTGCATTGCTCGTAGAGGGATAAGTTGGTTGATGTCTGCTTCCAATGTATATCTGCAGTTGATGTAAACAGCTTCATGGCCAATGTGGAACAACCAAGGTGCACACTGATGAAATTGCATGGCTGAAATACTCGGACCATATCACGTGGCTCCGTGGCAATCCACGCCAAATCCTGCCCCTCTCACTCAATTCTTGTCAACAAACTGTGTGCAAGGTGAAAGCGTCAAGGCAAGTGGCAGCGCCGTCGCCATAAGAAAAAAGGACTCGGTGATGGAAGGATTCGGAAGCTAATAGCAACAATAGAAGAACCAGTCGCTGCCCTCACAATCCCCCCCTCCTTGCACCATGGCGTTGGACCCGTTCGATCATATCCTGAACCTGGAAGATCAGTTCTATCAGGAAGGCTACCAACAAGGGACTGCAGACGGCGGAAAGGCCGGCAAGATTGAAGGTCGGGCACTCGGTCTAGAAAAAGGATATGAGAAATTCCTCGAAGCCGGGAGACTATATGGCAGATCTCTGGTCTGGGGCGCCCGTCTTTCGCAGCAAGCAGAGAAACCAGAGGGACGGGCGGATACTGTGCCCGAGCGGCAGGAGCTCCCGCCGCTCCCAGCGAACCCCAGGCTGAGAAAGAACACCGCGACACTCCACGCCCTGGTCGAGCCCGAGACCTTGTCGACCGAGAACACCGACGAGGCAGTCAACGACTTTGACGACAGGGTGAAGCGGGCGCGAGGGAAAGCCAGAATCATCGAGAAGACGGCGGGTGAGCAAACTCCCAAGCGCGCAATACCAGCTGGCCAGGAGGCCGCGGGCGTAACCTCTGCTTCAACTATTTGAGAGAGAAATCAGCAAGAATCACCCAGACTCTCAGACGCGAGATACCATTGGCAGGCGGGAATTCATGACTATGTTCGTCAGCATGATATAGGCTCGGCCGGTATTGCTGCCCCGCGATAGCCAGGCCACGTTGAACTCGAGGGATGAACAAAAGGAGGCCCTTTTTGCAAATCAAGTCTATGATGGTCTCCGATCCGATATGTACACTGTTCCCCCAAGACCTCCCGCAGCTCACTTGAATGACCTGCATGGGTACCTAGACGTAGTGTTGCAGCTTGTCAGCACGAGACATGCAAGAGGGAGGGGCGCAGAAACGTCAAAAACTCACTCTGCCGAGTACGACGGCTCCGTCAGCCCGTACTTGTGCACGTCCCACTTGCCCGACGCGAGGCTCTCGCCGGCCGGGGTGGGCGGCAGGCCGTTGACCAGCACGTCGAGCGCGGCGCCCTTGCCGGCCCTCTCGATGAAGGCGGCCAGGCCCGCGGCGCCGGCGTCCCTGGCCGCCACGAGGGCCTTCTCGCCGGCCTCGCCGACCAGCTCGGCCTTGGGCGACGAGGCGCTGCCCACGCTCAGCAGGGCGACGGCGTCGGCCTGGCGCACCACCGAGAGCGCGGCGTAGCCGCGGCGCGAGTCGCGCTTCCAGTAGGGGTTGTCGGCGATGTCGCCGGCCGGCAGCGTCACGGGGTCGTCGTACTTTGCCGGGTCCAGGTCGCCCGGGGCCGGGTAGCGGAAGTGCGGGTTGAGCGGCACGCCGTTGGACCGGTTCGGGTCGATGGCAAGCGCCCGGCGGAGGCGCTCCCACATGCCCGTCGACTGGAGCGTTTGTTTCTATAGGCAGGTCGGGAGGGCGCTTTTGGTCAGCCATCAGGGAGGAGGGAGGAGGGAGGAGCGCAATTGAGCCGAAGGAGGAGGGCAGACTAACCGTGGTGATGCTCATGACGCCACCAGCGGCAGCCGCTGCCGCCTTGGACGCCATTGTAGTAGCTGTCGCGGGCTGGATGGTGTTGGCACAGTCTGGCTGGCGATGGGCGTTTGGTGATCACTGTTCGAGGCTTTGGGCCCGCTACTCGCCCACTACTACAGCACCATGGGGCAATCAGGACCGTTCCGCCGACAATCTCCCGAGCTTCCGCCACTGGCAAAGCCCCACTCACTGAACAGCTGAATCCGTTGCGCCACAAGCTTCCGCCACGGTGTCTATTGGGTTTTGGATAAATAACAAATTTGAAGCCCTTTGCAAGCCATTTGATCATGCATAGCCTGCACAGCCACGGCATACAAATGCACTTGACCTGGTTGACAGTTGTCGCGTTAGGTGAGGCACAGTTTTATCGCACTAGGTGCCTGAAAGGGGAACATCTCTTGGGGCTTATGAAAGCTAAAGAGGGTAAATAAATACAATATACCGCGCTTCGTGCCGAGTAGCAGCATGAGCTTACCCCAGTTCGTGATTGGTCCGAGCTCCCTCCTCATACGCATTCAATCCCCCTCGCACTCGATCCTCCCCCCTTCCTCGCCTCGCGTACGCGCGCGCCGCAACTCTTTTCCTTTCCTTCCACCCCCTTCTTCCACTTGCGCATGTCCCCAAGGCGTATTTTTCACTTGGGCGCGATCCATCGCAGCGCATATTTCACGCCATTTTCTGCATCTCGGCCGCGCCCCATCTTCTTCCCCATCCTTCTCTGCTATAGTGCTTCCCGTGTAAGCTACAACAACAGCAGCACCGCCGCCATGCCGCCCACGCTTCGCAAGCGCAAGGCTCCCGAGCCCGCCCCGGCGCCGGCGCCGCCGGCCAAAAGGGCCGCGCCAAAGGCGAAGGTCGCAAAGGTCGCCGCAAAGGCCAAGGCGGCCGTCAAGGAGACGGTGAAGCCGGCAAAGGCAGGAAAGGCTGCGCCGGCCGTCAACGGCTCGGCCAAGCCTGCTGTTGATGCTGCTGTTGCTGCTGCTGCTGCTGCTGTTGCGCCGGCTGCCCCTGCTGATACCCCGGCTGCCTCCAAGGGCGACACGGTGGCGCTCGAGGGCTTTGGCGGCGAGATCGAGACGCACGACGGCAAGAAGACCACGCTCAAGGCGCTGGTCGACGAGAGCGAGGCGGGCGTCGTGCTCTTCACCTATCCCAAAGCCTCCACCCCAGGATGTATGGCAAATCTCCTTGATTTTTTTTTTCTTCATCCCCCATCCATCGCCATGCGCTGCTGCGCAAGGCGTCTTGCGCGCCCGCGCGCGAGGGGAATGCGCCCTGTTCGGAAATTGTTTCGCCCGCTTTCAAACCTCCGCGCCATGGCGAGGCGAAATACCCACCTGGCATGGGTTGATAACCTTAACTTCCAAAAGGGGGAACCCTGGGCGTTTTTTTTCCCCTTTGCCTTCTGCCTTTATTAACATTGCGATACGACGTCAGGCACGAACCAGGCCTGCCTCTTCCGCGACTCGCACGAGCCGCTCACGGCGGGTGGCCTGGCCATTTACGGCCTGTCAGCCGACACGCCCAAGGAGAACACCAGGTTCAAGGAGAAGCAGAAGCTGCCCTACCCACTCCTCTGCGACCCCAAGGCGACCCTGCTAGCCGCCATTGGGCTCAAGAAGGGCCCCGCCAAGGCCGCCCGCGGCGTCTTCGTCGTCGACAAGGCCGGCAGGGTCCTCGCCGCCCAGACCGGCAGCCCCGCCGGCACCGTCGACGTCGTCAGAAAGCTCGTCGCCGAGGCCGCCGCCGAGCCTGAGGAGGCTGCTGCCGCCGAGGAGGCCGTGGCCGCGGCCAAGGAGAAGAATGAGGACGAAGCTGATGAGGCTGAGAAGAAGGACTGAGGCCAGCCAGTCATTCGTCGCATCGCCGACTTCTTCTGCATTTTGGCTACTCTCTTTTCTGCTACTGTGAACCTTCTCTTGTATGTAACATCTTGTACTAATGATGGATGGTTGGCTGCGTGTAGTGTGGGTTATCTCTGTTGATAGGGTCAGGGTAGCGTTTGGATTCTTTTTTTTGTTTGCCGTGCTTGGAAGTTGGCGTTTGCCACGCCACATATCGTTTATACGTGCCTTAGTTCCAACGTCGTATAGGACCGACTGCGATTTGCATATCCGTTTGTCACGAGTCTCTCAAACGACGACCCCTTCCCGTCCAGACAGAAAAGCGAGAGTGCCGCAATGCTCCAGGTGGGAAAAAACAAGTCTATTAGATCGTCTAAACAGCAGTTGTCCACTCTATAGTTCCTCGTGCGCAGGGCTCCCTGACGCCTGCGGCGGGTCCGGCCTGCCGCTATCGCGGTGCAGATCGACCCCGTTCTTGCCTCGCCACTTCTCCCAGACGGACCAAAACTCCTTCTCCATGCCCGTCTCCATCTGGTCCGGCAGCACGACCACGTATTGGACGAACAGGTTCCCAAACTCGACCTGGTGATAAACGCTGTCGATATCTTCGTGCCACTTGGGCATGCCCTCGTTGGCGATCTTCTCGACGTGGCCGGGCTGGACGACCTCGCCCCGCTTCCGACTGAGCCTGACGATATGGCCGTCCAGGTGCGTGATGTTGCGTGTCCAGTCGCCCATCCAGGCCTCGCGCAGCGAGATGACCTCCTTCCAGAACAGGTCGTCACCCTTGCGGCGGAAGAAGACGCCATCGACGCGGTCCGGGTTGTCTTGCTCCAGGTCTGGCGCCTTCTCAACCAGGGTGACCAGCAGATCACCCGCAACATAGTCAGGGCTCGCGTCAGCCTCGTTCTCGAAGACGACCTGCGAGTCCCTGGCAGCGCCGCGCTGCACAGTGAGCTGGACTGTCGTGGGCTTGCGCAGGACGCGGTTGCCACCGCAGGCCTTGCACACGTGCTTGATGGTCTTGCCGCGCCCGCCACAAGCGTCACAGTGCATCTGCACCTGCTGGAACATTCCGGGAGCGAGCTGGTGGCGCTTGATGACGACGCCGTGGCCGCCGCAGGTCGAGCACGTATCAACAACGCCATCGGCGGAGCCCGACCCGGAGCACTCCTCGCAGATGTGCTGGCGCTCCCATTGGAACTCGGTGGTGCGGCCGTTGTAGAAGTCGCGCAGGGAGATGCCGATCTTGACCTCGACGTTGGGGCCCCGGCGCTGCCCGGGCTCAAAGTGGCCACCGCCGCCAAAGAAGCGGGAGAAGAGGTCGAAGGGGTCGTGGTGGTGGCCGCCGCCGTGCTGCTTGTGCTGCTTCAGTCCTTCATGGCCGTGTCGGTCGTAGATCTGTCGTGTCTCCTTGTCGATGAGCGCATCGTACGCCTCCGATACCTCGACGAATTTGTCCTTGGCCGTGTTATCACCCCTTGGATCTGGTCAGCACCACACAAAGCCCAAACTACATCCCGCCCACCACCACCGCCGCTGCCACGACTAGGAGCACAAAGCTGGCCTGTGGGAAGTCGTCGCGAAAGGGAAGAGACCTACGGGTTCTTGTCAGGGTGGTATTTTTTGCTCAGCTGTCTATATGCCGACTTGATCTCCTTGTCGCTTGCTTTCCTGCTGATACCGAGGACCTGGGTGGGCGCAGGATTAGTACGAATCATTGGCTTCCAGGCATCTTCTCAATCTCACCTTGTAGTAGTCCTCAGCGCAGAAGGCCAGTTGTGCCAAGGAGAAGAGCAGCCATGCTGCCCTCGAGAGCAACATTTTGAGCCGCCGTGATCCGATGCGGCGGCGGAGGGGGGGGCGAGGAGATGTGTGGCGAGGGAAGAGGAGATGGTTCTATGGTGCCCCAGCCATGTGTGGCCTTGAAATAACCTTGGCGGCAGAAAATGAGACGAGGCCAGCCAGCAGATAAACCTTGGGCTTGGGCTGGGAAATCTTTCGGCGTATCTCGACTTATCTGGCCTGTCGGATTCGCGTTTTGAGTGAATGGCTGCAGCGCCCGCCAACTGAGAACGCCACTCTGAGAAATACTACGTGCCAGCGTGTTAAACTGGCAATTGCCGGATTCGGAACCACAGTGCCGGAGAAACGAGCTACCGATGTTGGGCTTGGGTTGCGGGGAATAACTGGGGGTTATATGTACCGCGAAAACGTCTGCACTGTGCTGGCTTCGTGCCCTCGCTGGGCTGAGAAAAGCTATCAAATTGGCCAACTAGAAACGGTGAATCGACTGAATAACATGCTGACGGGGCTTGTAAGTTCCTGGCTAATCACGCTGGTGTAGGTGGTGACACTCCCGCGACACCTGACGCGTGGTTGACGATCCCTTCACAAACCCACGACCTAACGAAGAAGAAAACAAAAGAAAAAGGCGATGCGACTAGTTGGAATGGGGGAATGAGTAACAGGAAATGGCAACATTAAAGTCGGTGATGCGGGAACGACCGCAAGACGCAATGCTCCTAATTTTCCGAAGCCATTCTCGTTCGCGTGCACTCAGTAGTCCGGACATGCGGCTAGTGGTCAATATAAATCGATTGCAATCCGCGGCCGAGATCGGGCTGGAATCGAGACACAAGCACGCTTCCATTCCATGATAACAGAAATTCATCGTCCACGCGCGTCAAGAGCTGAGGTGCCTGGTGCGCACTAGGCGTGGCTGCAAGCAGCCCGCCCCACCCGACATGCTAATCCCTGTCGCCCTAGCCGCAGGACCTGTAAGTGGTGACATCATCGGCGCGAGTGATGAAAGGCGAAGCTCCAGCCTCCATCCCGCGCCCTTTGATCGTGGTACCATCGTCATCGACCTGTAAGAGCTCCGCGTGCGCGAGGGGGAAAAGCGGGAGGAGCAGTCAGCCATTGGCCGCTAATTCTCGGCTTTGGAGCGCTCCCTTGGTCCAACCCAGGCACGCCAGTCCTGTTTCGTGCTCCCAGAGCTGCCGTCTTAGGCCGAGCTTTACCCTTCGTTCCTTCCTGCTCAGGATTCTTCCACATAAAGCGTACGGGCTGCCCGCTTGCCCAACTTCTTTCTTCCATCTCCAATCCTTGCAAACCACACTTCTTTCACGCACGCTTCACGATAAACCCACGCGAAAACCCGCCGTTGCACCAACACTTCACACCTTCAGCTCGACCACATCACTGTCGCCATGTCTCTTCACTGTACGTTAGCTCTCCTGCCGTTTTCTGAGCGCATCGTGGAGCCCCCTTGGACTGTCACCTCGCAAATGGTGGATGGGGCCTGTTCGATCTATCTCAGCACCATCCTCGCACCGTCCTGGGGATAAAAATGTCTTTTGGCTTTATGCTGCCAAATCAGAGTGCTAGCGCAACGCGTGCGGATATTGAAACAAACGCAGCAGAACTGACAACCAGGCACCATCACCAGACCTTCCCCCCGTCAAGCCCTCGGCCATCGCCATCGGCACAGCTTTCAACCAGGCTGCCGAGCTTGCAGGTGAGCACCACAGATATCCTGATATCCTCCCGCTCCTCCTTGAGCACCCGCATGGGGCCAAGGAAGTCATATTGCCCGCAGGACAGTCCATTAACTAGCCCCGTGATCCAAGTCCTCACCCCTCTGTTCGGCGCGACATACAACCGCGCCAAGGCGGCCAACACCAAGGAGGAGTTCCTGCGCTCCAAGGAGGCATCATCGGCCGCCGTGGCCTGGGGAACCTCGCTCATCGGCTCGGCCCTGCAGAGCTACGGTGTCGGCGCCCTGATCAATGCTACAGGCACTCTCAGCTACAAGGGCTCCGCGTATCTGGGCGGTCTGATCTTCGCTGCCACTGCCGCTCCTGGCGTAAGTGTTTTGTGTTCACATTCCTCTGCCGCCGTCCACGATAGCCAGACACGCATAGAAAACTGAGTGATACTGACATTGGTCTTGTAGTACATCACCCAGCTGCTCCTGGAGAAGCGCCCTCTCGAGACTGTCGGCGTCAGCGTCTTGGCCAAGGTTTTCGAGACTGTTGGTCTGGCTATGACACTCACCTGGTGGGGAACTCGCACCAACCCTTTCGAGTAAACCAGCTGTAGAAAAGGGAAGATTGGTCAAGTCGGCGCCGATGATGGATAGTATGGATCCTATACCCGAATGAAAGGGTGGGCGATGCATGGCCTCGATAGAAGGGGCTTAGTCACGGGAACATTTTCCTTTCTGGTCTTGTAAATCATCGATATCTCTCAAATGACAACAATCAGCTGGAGCTCAATGAAATCACAACTACTGCCACATAGCGAGCACATGGGCTTGCAAAGTCCCCAAAGGTCCAGCTTGTCAAAGGTGCTGCTGGGTACCTCGGTAGGTGCCTGTCAGCTCTGCCCTGGCTGTCACTGTTAGGAGTGAGGGCCAATATCCAAGCTGAGCACATTAACCCCGAGGCAGAGTCCGAAGCAACATCAGAAATGCGGGCAAATATGGAGGAAAAAGGGAGAAAAGCAACATCCCAGGTTGAAAATCCCACCGAAACGCCGGAAAAAATACACGAGATCGCCTGTATCCCACAAGGAAAGTTTTTGGTATCCCCTCTCGCACACATATTACCCAACGGTAGATACGTCCCAGACAGCCACCCCCTAATTCACCAACGAAAGACACGGTTCATATCCGGCCCCTGAGCTGCTTGGCAAACTCCTTCTGGATCGTGGAGACCAGGTCCTGGTAGGCCTTGGGGTAGTCGTCCTCCCCATCGTCCTCGACGACGGCCTCGGCCTTCTTGCCCTTGACTCCGTCCCGCTTCCTACCCTGGGCGACTAGCATGACGACCGACGTGGGCCTCTTGGTCTTCGCGGCGGCGCCCAGCTCGGCGCGCGAGGGGACAAAGATGTAGGGGACATTGCGCTCCTCGCAGTAGATGGGCAGGTGCATGATGACCTCAGCCGGGGAGATGTCGCCGGCGATGACGACGACGCCGGGGACTTCGGTCGTGCTGGCCGTCTTGCTGGGAGCCTTGCGCAGGGCCTTGTTGACCTCCTTGACACCGCGCAGGAGGGCGGACTTCTTGGTGGCTGTGTAGCGAGGGAGTCGGAAAGTTAGTTGCGAGGCGAGAAGGTAGGCGACTGGCCAGGGGTCTGAGCTGTTCGAATGCACAGCCCCCCGTCCAAGAGAAGAAAAAACGTACCCTTCTTAACCGTCTTCAGCACCTTCTTCTGGACCTTGTCATCGGCCAGAGGGAGAGCAAACGACACCAGAGCGCCCTTGGGAACCTCGCCCTTTGCGATCAGGGCCTTGATCTCGTCCGCCTCGTTGTCAGAGACCATGGCGTCCGGGTCGGCGACGGGCACGACGATCTTGGAGTCCTTGGCCGGCGCGGGGGCCTGCAGGTGCTCGTCGAGCGCCTTCTCGAGGCGGTCCTGCTTGCTCTTCTTGTCCTTCTTGTCCTTCTTGCTCGAGTCCTTCTTGTGCACGCCGTCCTTTTCGCTGCGCTTCTTCTCCTTCTTCTCCTTCTTCAGCCGCGCCGCCTCGTCGCCGGCGACGTCCTTCTTGCTGTGCTTCTCTGACGAGCCCATCTTGACGGCGGAGGAGGCCAATTGGCGCGCCAATTAAGATTGAATGAGCCGAAGTCGCGTCCTGTAACGGTAGTATCGCGTCGTGATCTCGCTGCCCCAAAATATCGCGCAATTTAAGTGTGTCTTTTCGTTCGCTAGGCCTCCCCAACACTGTCGTGATCGCTGAACGCAAGGCGGTCGACTTTTTTTTTATTCGGTAAAATTTTGTTCCAATGCTCCTACAGTTCCGCCCACAGTTGCGCCCCACAAATCCACGGACGGGTCTGCCGCCAGGTCCGCACGGTGCGCTGAATTGAATACTACACTGTCCGATGCGAGTGCCGCCACGGCTGTGATCGATCTGGTGGTGGCGGCATAACAGAATCGGCCTTTCTTTCCCGCATTGTATTGGTATTCTCAGGCTTTTCCCTAGGAGACAATACCATCCGTCTACCTGTAGGCTCTTCACAGCGCTTACCCGTCTCTTCAACCTTGATGGGCCAAGGACAAAGGCCCAGTCACACATGCATATCGAACCTTGAATTAGGCAGTGCAGTGCCGAGAGAGGCGATATCCAGAAAGGGCGGAAACGGCCGTGCTGATTCTAGAGCGACGACGAATGCTATCGCGGCCCGATGTTCAACCCCCAGAGATAGGCAGGGACCAGTCAGAAATGCGTTGAAGTCGCACATCATTGATCTGTTGGCCTTGCTTGACTCATTGTGACTGCTTGAAGCTATTCCTGCGGCCAAGGTGAAGGGGCCTGAGTCGACTGCATGCATGCTCCGAAATGCTGCAGTTTCGTCCAATCGCGCCTGCACGACACCAGGCGTGTTTGCACACCGAATGTGCAGTGGACGAAGCGCCGTGGCTGCCTGCCAGAAGCGGGGAGAGACACAGCTTGAGCTTGACCGGGCTGCACACCTGGCAATTGATTCATGCCGGTCGGATTCTGTCTGATGTGGACAAGCGCGTGCGCAGTGCTGGCTGGTGATAACGCCAAGTTGAGCCACTGGCTCGCTAGCTGCAGTCGCCTGTCCACTGGTTGTGGATCCTTCGCCTCGTCCCCAGCCGCGGGTGTTTTGATAGCGGCCAGACCCCCAGCCGATAAAGGGCTGGTCGGGTGGGCAAAGCGGCGGTCCGGTGCTACAGGGGGGTGGCAGGCGGGGGCCGGGGTCAACTGATAGCTTAGCATCAGCAACCCCCAGCAGTTGCTCGCAGTCAGTGGAGTCAGGGACTGACGTTGGGCGTCACGAGTACAGCCAAGGTGGGCTGCGCGGCGTGCTGGTAGTGGTTCAACCGCCTGGGGGCAGCCTTTTTGGCTCGCCAGAGGAGTGCCAGGACCCTGGCCGTGTCGCCGTGTGCTCCGACTAGGCTGTCTTGTGGAATAAAGCGTGCCTGACCGACCACCCGCCCTTGTTCTGTTTGTTGTCTGATGAATGAATCCCAGCCAGCCCATTGCCCATCGCCCATCTCTTCTCTTCCACCCGCCTGTTCGCGAAGCAACCCGACATCCGCAGGCCGTGGCTGGTGCTTCTCGCTCTCTCCCCGCCACGCACAAGGAGAGCGCGGGCTGCTCGGCTGTTCGTCCACCAGGCGGAACCCAAACCAACAGTGCGTGAAACAGAGCGCGCTCTAAAACGTCATCGCCCGCGCGCATCTGCCCATATGCTTCGAACATGACTGGAGACCCCGCAGCCACAGCTGGGCGCCGTTTCCTGTCTCTGCCGCTCGCCGCCGATCCTTCTTCTTCATCGTCCGCCTGAAGATACCCCCCCGACGACCGCGTTCCACCCACGAACACGCCGCCCTGACCTGGGAATCCCTCCTCCTTCGCACCCGCGCTGCGGCGGCTCCCGGCGGCAGCTCGCCGTCCGCCCTCGCTCGGGATGGCGTCTCTCTTCCAGTCCTTCCGCGGCTCGGCCATGCCCAAACGCCTGCTCCGCTATGCCCTGTCGCGCCTAGAGCTGCTGGACTCGGACGCGCTCGATATGGACAACCTGGACCTGGCGCTGGGCAGAAACACGGTGCTCGAGTTCCGCGATGTCGGCATCAAGCTCCAGGTTTGAAGCCCTCCACGCCGTTTGACAGCATCCGCTTTCGGTTGCTCCGTAGGCAACTAGCTAATCCGGGCCGAGCAAACACCGATAGAAACTAGAGCGCCTCCTTAACCTCCCGCCCGCCTTCACCCTTCAAAAGGCCAAAGTTATCCTCCTGCGCGTCACCATACCGATGGACTTCTACACAAGCCCCATTCTCGTCGAAGTCGATGGCGTCAACGTCAGGCTCAAGGTCGACCCCAAGGATGCTACAGAAGCACAGCTCAAGAAGCAAAAGACACGCCCATCCGGCAGCGAAGTTGTTCCCAACACAGTCGACCTCGCCCAGTCGTTCCTGGAGCAGCAGCCATCAGATGAGAAGGAGAGACTGGAGGCCGCCCTGGCTGCCGAGACACAGGATCTGGGCGCTTCGCTGTCGCTTAGTGAAGATGAGAGCGACGAGGAGAGCGGCTTCGGCACAGGCCAGGCTCTCTCGCTACCCGCCTTCCTGGCCGACTTCCTCCAGGGTATCGTCGACCGCACCCAAATACAGATCCGCGGCGTCACCTTCCAGCTAGATGTCGGTGTTCCGGCCGAGCCAAACGCCACCGCCCCTGACGTCGTGACCTTTGAGCTTGCGATGGGCCGTATCAACGTCGAAGGGGTAACAACAACCTTCCAGGCCGACGAGGATGAATCCCCCAAGATCGTCCCAAAGGAGGGGAAGAGGCATGTATCCCTCGAGAATATCACGGCGTTCCTAATATCTGAGGCCAACGTCTTCTCGACCTTCGAGAGGACCGTATCGGTGCCGCCGTCACTCGGCACAGAATCCTCTGCTGCGTCTGCCTTGAGGAGTCCTATGTCGGAGAGGTCTTATGCGTCCTCGCTTCAGAGGGGCGACGATCTTCTGACGGATTCGATACTCCTCGAGCAGAGCCAGTATTTACTTGACGACAGCGAGGATGCTCTCAATATTCCATATGAACTGGACAGCTCAACCGAGGATGTCGAAAACGAGATTGAGCCCCCGGCCTCGTCCTTGTCAACTCCAAGGGCATCCATGTACCTGGAGTCCGGGCCCCGTCCGCGTCCAACCTCGGCCAACATTTCCCATTCGGCCCTTGAGGGAAACCCACATCCTTGGGGCTCTCCGTCTAGGGGTGTGCAGTCGGAGCCGGCGCTCACCGCCCTGCCTCCAATCGTCCCATCCGCAGTCCAACAGGGGCCTTTTCCCGACCTCCAGGGCGGCGAGTCCGTTTACTCTAGCGCTGCGGGCAGTGTGCATTCGGTAGAGGCGTCACCTGCGGATGACCTCGCCGAGTCTCATCTCTTTAGTCACGAGGAGGCCGAATCCATGTACATGAGCGCTTTCTCTGCGACAGAGTCGGTGAGGTTGCGCTCCAGGATGCCGGGCGGTTGGGACTCTGCCGACGCAAGCCCCGAGTCGTCGCCGAGAGCAAAACGACCAGCAACCCCAAGCGCCGTCGAGCCACAAAGGCAGGAGCTTCCGCCTGAGAAAGAGGGGGTACTGCCATCATCCTTGGTGGCTGATGACGTGACTAGGCCATCGGTATTCGAAGCAACACCGACGCCTGCGCCTGCTCAGGACGGCTTGGATGGCACTACCGAAAGCGACGATCCCCCGCGTGAACTCTTGACAGAAGTCGCTCCTGACATTGGCACCTATGATGACCCGGAAACTCAAGGCCATAGTGCTCCGCAAGAGGAGTGCGCCACTCCTCGTGGTCCTGCTCGTTTAGCCAAGAGGATCCTGGCTCTCGACAACATTTCGGTCTACGTCCCATCAAAGCACAGCCACGTGCATGTCATCACGGCTGATGGGCGGTCAATAATCCCAACACTAGATGCTACGCACGCCGGATTGTCAAAGTCGACGTCTCCGCATTTGCCGGGTGCATTCTCGGTCATGTCAACCTCGCCGGCCAGCCCTCCTCCGGCCGGCATTTCGGAGCTTGACCCTGACTCTGACGAGCCGGAGAAAGCCACCGACAGGTCCCTCGAAGTGATCCTGTCGCCGCTGAATATCCAATTCGATGCCTCTATTGGCTTTCTTCTCGCTATGGTAGTGTCTAGATTGCTCTCCACAATCAGCAGCAAGGAGGTCGAACGGCCAAACGAGGGTGTTGGGTCGGCCGCAAAACCGGCACAAACGTCGGCGCCCCACGAGGACATTCGTATCACGCTGGAGGAAGTGTCTCTACTCTTCCTAGAGCGGCTGGCTGGCGTCGCAGAGACACCGGACAGGATATTCGGAGCTGGCCCGGCGGGCTTCGGCGCCGACGTCCTGCTGCAGACGCAGCTTCGTAATGTCCAGGCCTCCATCACCCCGAGCGAGACCGCAATCGATATTGAGAGCTTTACGTTTGGTTACGCCGGTGAAGACGCCAGTATCATATCTTTTGATCGAAGCTTGCAGATGATGGCTTCCGTCAAGGACGCGATGCCCACGCCCGGGTCCGAGGTGTCCATCAAGATCAGAAAGTCGACCTCTTCAACCCAGGTCGATATCAACACCTTGCCCTTGCACGTCCGACTGGATCTCCGACGACTGGACGAGACTTTTAGCTGGTTTGGCGGCTTGAGCAGCTTCCTTAGTATGGGATCATCCATGACTTCCAACCAGAACGTCCCGCCGCCAGCCAAAGTCCCTGTTCGATCCGCAGCTGCTCCTCGGGGCGTGCGATTCGAAGCCCCTATAAATCCAGACGACCGCTCGGCATCATCCGACAACAAGGTGAACATGCGGATCAATGCGATCCAGGTGGATCTGATCGGAAAGGATTGCAATGTTGTGCTGGAGACAAGTGCTCTGAAGCTCGTTAGCCGAGACGAAGGCATCGGCATGGCCATGACCAAGATTCAGCTTAGCGGCCCCTATTCAAAAAATAGCGGCTCGCATCCGCCAGTCAGCGTCACTGTGGTCGGCACCCGGGTTGAGTTTTCCATGGCGCCCAAGGATGCCGATCTCGAACGCCTGTTGGAACTGATCTCCCCCTCGAAACTGAAGTATGACGAGGATCAAGACGAGATCATGGTCGAGACTCTGCTTCGGCAACGGAAGAAGGGCTCTGTGCTCCGGATCTGGGTTGATAAAGTCAACTTGGACGCCTCGAATCTGCCACACCTGAGCTGTCTGCCGTCACTTGCTGAAGACCTCGCCCGTCTGGGGACGGTTGCCAAGTACCTGCCAGAGGATGATCGCCCGGGACTGCTGTCTCTCACCCTTGTGCGATCCCTGAACGTGTCGGTCGATGTCGGCGGGCGGTTCGGCGTCGTCGATGCCGTCATGAAGGACTTTGACATTGCACACATCACGGTGCCCTCACTCGTCGCCACGGCCGTGGGGTCTCTGACCGTCGACCGCAACCGTATTGAGAAGCTTGTCGGCTCGTCCCTGCTGCCGTCAGCCTCTCTGTCCAAGACGCCGGTCCTGATGATGCGCATGATTGGTGACGTTATAGAACCTACCATCACGGTCAAGCTGCATGGAATCAACCTAGAGTATAGGGTCCCGACCATAATCGACCTGCTAGAGCTGGACAAAGATGCCACCCCGGAGGACTTCGAGGCAGGTCTGGCGGCCTCGGTCGCACAGCTGGGCGAACAAGCTCATATGGCAATCGCTAGCCAAACCAGCACTACAGCCAGATCCACCCCTGGAGGCGGGCAGATCAAGAACAAGCCCCCGAAGGTCGACCTTGCCTTCATTGACTGCATCATCGGCCTGAACCCACTTGGACTGACTTCCAAGATGGGCGTTGTTCTTGCCGACAGTCGCCTCTTGGCCAACCTTGGCGATAAAGGAGACGTCGAAGTGGTCTGGAACCTGAAGAAGGCCTCTGTTGTTCTGATCGATGACATCTCCGTCTTCGAGGCGGAGGAGGACATACCGCCGACGAGACGTGCGCACCGGTCATCGGACGCTTCTGCGACGAGGCAGAAGCTGTGGGGGATGGAGTCGAGCCTTTGCTCCAAAGGCTTCGTCAGCGTTTGCCAGATCCACTCGGCGTCGGTAACGGTGCGTGTGGCAGACGACGGATCTGGCGACAAGGCCATCGAGGCCGAGATCAGGGACAATCTCCTTGTGCTCGAGACATGCGCCGACTCGACACAGACGCTGATTGCGCTTGCGAACGCGCTCAAGCCCCCGACGCCACCGAGCAAGGAGGTCAAGTTCAAGACGCGGATCATCCCGGTGGAGGACCTCCTGGCCTCCATCTCGCCAGATGCCTTCGGCAAAGCAGAAGGTGACTACAACTTTGACGATGATTTTGGCGAGGCGCGAGGTTTGCCCGGCGATGACGATATCTCTGATGGTGGTTCAGAGATGATAAGCGCAATGGAAGCGGAGTACTACCCTCGTCCTGAAGAAGGGCCCAGCGAGAAACTGTTTGACGCGTCATCGTCCATGACATCAGATCGCACGACGACGCAGGAAACGCACGACGACGGAGTACTGCTGGACTTGGAACAGCCGGCTTCTGGAGATCTCGGCATCGATGACAACTTCTTCGGCACAACCTCTGCGGCCAAAGGCGCCGGGCGGCAGTGGGACTCTGCAAGAAATAAGAAAGATGACTCGGACGTCAAGAAGGCCGCCAAGAGCCTGCTGAAGGTGAAGGTGCGGGACGTGCACGCCATCTGGAACCTATTTGACGGCTACGACTGGCAGCGCACGCGCGATGCTATCAGCAAAACCGTGCAAGAGGTCGAGGCCAGGGCGTACGAGCGGCGGGCGCGGCTTGACAGGCGGTCGGCCTACGATCAGGATTTCGAGGAAGAAGAGACTGTCATCGGCGACTTCCTCTTCAACTCGATCTACATCGGCATCCCCGCTCATCAGGACCCGCGCGAGCTGTCCAACGGGATTGCCCAGGACCTTTACGGCGACCGGCAAACCGACACCGAGTCGGTAGCAACAACCCAGGTCACAGCGACGCCAAGTCGTCTCGGAGGTCCGTCGTCACGGCCCAAGTCCAGGAGGCTGAAACTCCACCGGAGCAGACACCACAAGATCACGTTTGAGCTGCGGGGCGTCAATGTCGACATGGCCACCTTTCCCCGCGGCTCGGGAGAGACGGAAAGCTCTGTGGACTTGAGTATCAAGGACCTCGACATTTTCGACCACGTGCCAGGGTCGACATGGAAGAAATTTGCCACATACGACCGTGATGCGGGCGAGCGCGAGATCAAGAGCAACATGGTGCAACTCGAGCTGCTAAACGTCAGGCCCGTGCCAGACCTAGCCGCCACTGAAATCGTGCTGAAGGTCAGCCTTCTTCCTCTCAGACTCCACGTCGACCAGGACGCGCTCGACTTCATCACGCGCTTCTTTGAGTTCAAGGACGACTCGATTCCCCTGCCCGGCTCGCCGAGCGACGTGCCCTTCATACAGCGGGCAGAGATCAGCGCAATACCTGTCAGGCTCGACTTCAAGCCGAAGCGCGTCGATTACGCCGGCCTCCGGTCTGGGCACACAACCGAGTTCATGAACTTTATGATTCTCGACGGCGCGAGCATGACGATGCGCCACACTATCCTCTACGGTGTCTCCGGGTTCGAGAGGCTGGGCCAGACGCTAAACGATATCTGGATGCCGGACATCAAGCGCAACCAGCTGCCCGGAGTCTTGGCGGGGCTTGCTCCGGTGCGGTCTCTCGTCAACGTCGGCAGCGGGTTCCGGCACCTTGTGGAGATCCCGGTGCGCGAATACAAGCAAGACGGGCGCATCATGCGGTCCCTTGGCAGGGGTGCTGCCCTCTTCGCCCGCACGACGGGCACCGAGATGGTCAAGCTGGGCGCCAAGGTGGCCGTTGGCACACAGTACGTCCTGCAAGGAGCCGAGGGCTTGCTGGTCAACAACCCCGAGCAGGGTGGCGGCGCCGGAGCGTCCTCATCTGCCGGCGTATCGTCAGGCTGGGACTCTGATGAGCCGTCGGACTCTGAGGAGCGGAAGCAGATTTCGCTGTATGCGGACCAGCCGACGGGGGTGATTCAGGGCTTGCGACACGCCTACTCGAGTCTGAGCCGCGACCTTAGCGTGGCTCGCGACGCCATCATTGCGGTCCCCGCCGAAGTGATGGAGAGCTCGAGTGCAAAGGGGGCAGCCAAGGCGGTCATCATGCGGGCACCGACAATCATCTTCAGGCCGGCTATCGGAGCCACCAAGGCCATTGGCCAAACGCTCATGGGCGCCACGAACAGTCTGGATCCGCAAAACCTCCGCCGCGTGGAAGATGTAAGTACCGTGCCCTCTTGTATCCTCCCGATGCATGATGTCGGCACCTCTAGGGCTGCCAGATAAAAGCCCTGGTGGCTCGATGGGGAATCCAAGTATCGTGAACTAACCGGAGTGCACAGAAATACAAATCCGGCCCTGGCCGCTAGCCCGCCGCCAGTGTCCCAACACCCGCTCAGGGATCAAAGAACTGGGCAGTCCTCCCATGATTGGTTTTCTATCAACAAGCCACGTTTTGGCTGTTTTGTTTGCACCACGAAGCTTATGCATTTCGCGTCTTACAGGCGCGCTTTGAATTTTGATATCCCAAATTTGTCTCGGTTTTGCTTGCCATGCTGCTGCTAAATCCCCACAGAACGCTGTGTTATATCTCTTCTCACGATTTTCTTTTCTGCCGGTTTCTTCATTTTTCAGTTTGGTTGGCTTTTCTTTCCCCTCGCTATTATTGCATTAGAATGGCGTCCCCTGGGCCAAGTCAGCCCGGTGTGATGGCAGCGCGGATAGAAATATCGCACGACGCATAGGACCACTCTCCTCGCCCGTCCACCACATCTTTGCATACCCTAAACTTGCGTTTTGGTCAGCTTCGTGGGCTTTTAGGGGGCCAGAATGTACGTATACACGACGACGAGAAGAGACGTGATAGGCCAGAGGCAGCAGGGAATGTAATGGGGGTTTGGCCCACGCCGGACACGGAAGTACTTGTTAGGGCAGAACAGCCAGCCGACGGCTGTCGCTCACTACCACAGACTACAGTTTTTGTATATAGACAGAATATATCGAGTTGGATGGCTGCAAAAGCAACACACAACTTCACATGGCCTGTGGGTTGTCGATAAATCCCAAGTATATGGGCTAGCTGGGGAAAGGATACATCAGGGTGCCTGTCGGTGGGTGGACGACATGTCTGGGCCTCCTACTTTTTGATCTTTTCCGAGACAAAGGGGAGGGTGTTTGAGCAGATGGACGAGCTGTTTGGAGACCAGCTGGTGCCCCACGCCCTCGCCGATCCGGTGGGCGCCGCCGCGGCGACTGGCGAGATTGATGAGCTTGCGGGGCGGGCTTCCAACATTGAGAAGGTCTGATTAGCGTATGTGCGCTGGCCTGGTTTCGGGGCCGTCGCAATATAATATGTAGTCATCGCTGCTGCGTTTATGGTGTCCGCCATTGCGTGCCCGTGATAACTGTTGCGATACCCTCCGCCCCCTGATGCTATAACTGTGGGAACAAGTGTAAACTTAAGTACCTCTTCGCTACACGATCTCGAAGCATCGTAGATCCGGTGATCCCGCAAAGCCCTCGCCCGCCATCATGCCATGAACGTACGACTCCCCGATGAACTCGTAGCAGCCGCTTCCGCCCGGGCTTTTAGAAGGGCATTCCCGCAGCACGTACGCCGTCTTGCCGCCGCGGAAGAGCACGACGCAGTCGCCGACCTTTGTGGACCTGGGGCCGAGCCCGACAAGCCCTCTCCGCTCGGTGATGATTAGCCGCCTCTGAAAGGAGGCGCGGATGACCGCTATGTTGTAGTTGTACGCCGCATTTTCCACCGCGGGGGTCAGCGTGGTGCCCGAGTGCCAGTACATGTACACCTGGCGGTACGCGGCGTAGGCCCCTGCTAGTATGGCGGACTTGTCGGTTGTCGCAACTTCGTTATCTGCTTCTCCCCCCCTCAGTGCACCATCGCCCGCTGACACCTCCCAGGTGTCGGCCACCAGCGTTCTGAGAAAAACAGTCCCCATATCCTCTCCCGTCGCCGCGTAGCGCTCGCCCATGTCCAGCACGAGCCGCTCCCACGTAAGCATGTCGGCCGCTCTCGTCTTCTCCTTTCTTTCGCGCGCCAAGCTTGCCACCCACTTGATTCTGCTCGACAGTGGCATCAAGCCGGGGCGGTTCGGGTTGATCACCGACGGGGAGCCCGCGCGCCGGACCCGGTCCAGCAGCACGCCCTCTAGCTGGAGTCGAGTCCCATCCCCAGAGAACCCGACGGCAGCACGGCCGGTCACCGGTAGTGGTGGAGATGCGTTGCACGCTAACGCGACAGCGGAGACCAGGTAGGGACGCTCGCGCATCATGGTCGACCAGTCGGGCACCCAGGACGGCAGGCCGTCGACACCTTTCCACATTGGGTCCCCCACCAGGCTTAGGACCTCAAGTGACTGTGACTGCTCGAGAAGGCTCCTGGCCAGCTCGCGGTACACCTCGGCCACGGGCTTGCTGTAGTCGGGGACCACGAAGTCGCCCCCGTCAGCGGCCAAACCGAGCATGGCGTAGACCTTGTCAACCGGCTGCGTGGCCAGCGAGTTGCGGAACTGCCTCAGGAGGAAGTTCAAGCTTAGCGGCGGCGGTGGCTGCGAAGCCGCTTCGGGATGACCCCACTCATCCGGGCGCATGCGGAACCTGACGCGGTCCATGGAATGCATGTTGATGGCGTCGATGCTGACGTGCCGCCCTATGTTGCGCACCTCGAAATACCGGACCGCCAGCGCCAGGTCGCGCCAGGCGATCTCGTCCGCGCCGCAGTACACGGTCGCGGACCAGGCCAGGCAAATCTCCTGCACGACCCATATTCGCGTGAACCACGGCCGCCAAAAGAGCACGTCCAGCGACTTCCAGTCGGGCGCCGTCCAGGCGGGGAGGCCCAGCGCCGCGAGCTCGCCGTCCGAGTCCAGCGGCCTGTCCCTGTCGCCGAGGGGGGTCGCCGCGGCCGCCGCGCAGAGGCGGCGCGCGAGCGCAAAGGCGACGGAGCTGTCGTTCGCACTCTCGCCAAGCCAGACGACGACCGAGGCCGCGGACCGGTAGATGTCGCCCATCAGCTGCACCTGGGCGCTGCGCTCGCCGACGTCACCCTGGTTGATGCAGACGGCGTCGACCCAGAGGACGAGGCGCCGGCCCTTGCCGCGGAGCCGGCGCAGGGCCTTGAAGAGGTTGCCCGTTATCTGCAGCAGGCCTTCTCCTCCTGCCTCGCCGCTGCAGGCCACATTGTGCGTCTCCGAGGCGTCCCCCCACGTGTACGACAGGGCTTCGTACTCCGGGAGCGGGCCGTCCAGGGAGTGTAGGGTAAGGGAAAAGGCGAGCGCGTCGTTATCGGACCTGGGCTCGAGGTGTAGCAGGCGGATGTGCCTGTTCTGGAGCGGGGCATAGCGGTACCATAAGGATGAACTGATGATGCTTGGAGTCAGCCCCGTGTGTTGTGTGACGGTATGGTCGGCCTGGCTTACTCTACATCGGCAGCGGCAGAGATATGTCGTTTCCTCGAGGACTCTTGGTACAGCCTTAGCTTGTAGTTACGGTCTGCAATCTGCATTCTAAATTTACTAAAGCCGGGAGCCTCGCGATGTTGCGGCTGTCAGTCGGGCTTTACAGTCAAGAGGTGAGAACTGGAGCATTTTATGCCGTCATACTGAGGAACTACTGCTCTGATTGCCGAATCACAGGCGGTCACGCAGAGCGCGCGAACGAATTTGAGATAGGAGATGTAGATGGACTCGATAATTTCCCCCATCCTGGCGAGCGCGATGTTCTCTCGTTAGAGGTTCTCTCGTTGGAGGGCGCCGTGGCGAAAGTTGTTCCTGGGTGGCCTCTCGCTTGTGGGCACAAAGCTGGCACGAGAAAATAGGCTGGAGTGCTTCAATGCTGACATGCGGAGCTGGTCGAATCACTGGCCAAGCCACCAACGCCACCAACCTCATTCAGTGGATGTATGAAGGCCCAATCTGGTCGGGAAGAATTACCAAGCCATGGCGCCGAGCGTGGGGGCGTCCATGAGCCTCACGAGCCTAGGCACGGCTCGGAACGCGGCGAGGATGCGGGCCTGGAGCTTGACGAGCAGGACGAGGTATCTGCATGAGCGGCAGTAGGATGTGAGGGGGTTATGGGCCTGCCTGACCTGTTGTCCGTGATTGTTCTTTGGTGGTTGATAGATAGGTGGGCTGTGGGACACCATCACTATCATTCGAGATGTATGAACATGCTAGGTCATTGGTTTGACTAGGGAAGAGCGGACGGGACCCCGTATATCCCAGTGGGTGTGATCGCATGTGCTAGTTGTCGCTGCGTCCGCTCTACAAGTGAGCTTTGTTCTTCCGATGAAAATTCGAAAATCACCGCCCCTACCCCTTGGACACGTGCCCGTGCTCGCACGACTTCGGAACCAAGGCGAGCGAGCAGCAGGTTACCTACTACAGTATCGCCATGACGACCACTCTCCCCTCGGCCGCGCCGGAACCAGCATAAAAGCCCGGTTATTCCTGGGGCGCGGACGGGGTGGACCCTGCCGTCCAGCCAAACACCTCCAGAACATTATGACAAAATGCGCCTGGCATCCTTGGCCGACTGGTCAACCGCTCATTATCCTCCTCCTCCTCCTCACGGGTATCGTCATTTGTGGCCTGCCACCCCAGTGCCCTCGCATTGCCTTTCCTGAATTCCTTCCCGCCTGCCCGCCTCATCCCCTCATGCCGTCCCTGACCCGTTTCCTTTCGGACCCGAGCCTGACGCGCATCACCAGCACAAAGACGGCGACCAGCATCTGTATCAGGACCACCTCGGTGTACAGGCGCGTCCACCTCCAGGCCTTGGAGTCGGGCTGGGCCCCGCCCGGGTCCTCCTTGGAGGCGGAGGTCCTGGGGTCGAAGCGGTCCCCGGCGGCGGGCGCGTCGCCGTTCCTCTCGTCGGCGTACCTCTGGCAGACCTCGAGGTAAAGCTTCGGGTCGTCAGTGATGACACCCGAGATGCCGCCCTTTCTGATGCTCCACTCCATCCACTCGACCTCGTTGACTGTCCAGACGAACACCTGACGGCCCCTGGCTTCTGCGGCCCGGATGAAGCGCGTGCCGGCGGGGCCGACCAGCATCTTCTGCAGTAGATTGAAGGACACGTTTGAGTGCTTGAGAAGCTCCCACGCGTACGCTTTTGACCAGCCGATGTATGCCACCCCGAAGCCGGGGAGCAGCAGGCTGCAGCGGCGCATGTAGTTGGCCTGTGTCAGATAGTATCAGTCATCCGCGTGCCGTCCAGTCGCTTTGGCAAATGCCTGCTTCTACAGGGAGGTGCATGGCTGCGGGTATGCGGTTCGGTCATCTTACATCCCAACAGCCCATTATTATCCTCTCCTTCCAAGGTCTTGAGCTCGGGACCGAAGCAAACGTCTCTCCTGCCCTCCTGATGAGCTCGTCAGGGTCGTCGTCCCTCTTGATATCCAGCAGGAGCCACACATGCTCCATGCCGGGCTGCGTCAGATATTCCAGCAGTTCTGCCAGGCGCGGCATTGGGGACGGTGGACTCCTGACGGTGCGCAGAGTGCTGATGTGATCCCAACTGCAGTCCGATAGCTTCGCGTCTTGACCGAAACATCGCTTTAATGTACCATCCTGGGGGCGTGCAAGCATTAATGTCAAAATGGACTCTACCGACCTTGCATGGATCATATTACGTGTTGCCACGAGCGCCCGGAGGACTTACATGTGACAGGACGACAACCTTGTCTTTTGTCAAATGGAGGTCCGTCTCGATGGCGTGAGCACCAACAGCGATGGCGTTGGCAAAGGCGTTCATGGTGTTCTCGGGCCACTCGGCCTTGTAGCCGCGGTGGGCGATGGCCTGTGGCATACGTCCACCCCAGGGGCCCTGTATCGCATCGGCGAACGGGGCTGGAGGGAATATGCGCTTAGGGTAGCCATTGAGGAGTGGAGCCTTCTCCGACGGGTTTGGTAATATGTTCATGATGGCTGGGTTGATGATGCGCTGCTGGCCAAGACCCTGCTTGCCGAGACGACCTGGGTTGCTTGAGCACCTCCTGGGGTGCGCGAGGCTGTGAGGGTTGCTTCGTAGCCGCTCAGATACAAAGGAGACCGTAACGGAGACAGTCTCGGCAAGAGAATCTGAGGAGCGCTGTGAGAGTGGCTTGCGGTATATCAAGACGCGCGGGGCTGATCCGATAGAAAGATGCGCCCTCCAAAGCTACCAGCTGCAGTGCGTATCCCGTTGATTTGCACTGCTCGACGCCTTCAGGTACTAATATTGGCGTCGTCAGCAGGGAAGGGAGCTAAGGCGGGGAGTGTGGTCACGAGTTCGAGCTCAAGCCAGCTAGGAGCGCGGACATAGAACGGTTCCGGGGGGCGGCGTGGCGGGAGTCTTAAGTCCGTTCATGGTGCAGGCCAACAAAGGCTTAGGCAGGCAGGCGAGAAAATAATAAGGACGGGCGCCACCGGCCTGGAGCGTTCTCGCGCTGAAGGGTGCGTCGGACCATTCTTCAAATGCAAGCCACATGGCCACCCCGCGGGTCGCGCGGCAGGGGCCGGTGCTTGGTTTAGAGATAGCATGCATGGGTAGGCGGTAATGATTGGACACAGGTGGGGAGGAGCAAGGACAGGGCGGGGTCGAGCGAATTCCCACGAACCCGACGAGAGGTGCTTGGGGATGATGGGGCGAAACAGCAATCAATGCTTGGATATTCCCACTTACCCCCGGGAGTCTGCGATCGCAAGGGCGGGCTCGACTCTGCCTCCACGGCGATGTGTGGTGCTCCGAGTCGTATGGCTGTTGCTACAGCGAGGACGGTTGTCGGTCGCCTGCTCGATGCGAGATCGGTGAGGAGTAGAAGCGTTAGTCGGTGTAGGTTAACCGTCGGCGACAGATTAGCTAGGTGTTTCGGCACAGGAAATGACTTGAGCCAGGCCGTTGGAACCCTCCCGCTTGCTGCTTTGACAGTGACGAAGCACGGTGGCTGGCGTGGAGGAAAGTTCCGTGCGGGACGACGTCGAGCTGAGGGAGCCGGTGGAAGAGGCCGTGACAGGAGGGTGGTCGGTCGGGCGGTGATGTGATATATCGGCCCAGGACGCTGCCTACTCATCTTTGTTCTTTCCTTGTCCGCCCTGTCGTATCTTGTTTTTTTTTTTCTCCGTCTCTGTCGCTTCCCTTTTTTTCGCCTGATCTCTTTTTCCGCTCTTGCGCGCGCGGAGCTCCGGCGAGAACCCCGAAACAGACAAGGGGATCCGCTTGGTGCAGAGAGCGCCTATCCACGCTGTGGTCAGCGACCAAACCCCCCGGGCAAACGCAGGGCGCCTTGTGCGACACGCTAAGCGGGTGCGACCTGCGCCTTCAATTCGCTTTCAGCCGCTGCGGCTCGGGGCTGAAATGCTGGAATGCTCCTCTTTTTTTCTTGTCAATTGTATCGCCCTCCTAAACGTCAGCGCAGATTCACAGCGGCCCACCCAATCAAGTCGTCGTCCCGTCTTTGGCGAGAGAGTAGAAAAAGTGGCAAGTTGGTCTGTCTGCTCCTTCAGCTAGGGGCCTTCAATGGATGCTGGCTTCATCCTCCAGTGAAGCGAGCGTCGCCCGTGATCGACGCTAATCAAGAGGGGGCCTGTGGCTGCCACGAGCACGTGCACTAGCGCATATCCACTGAGCTTAAACGCAGGAGAAAAAAAGCCGACAAGACAAGCCCCACTGAAAAGCCGGGGCAAACCCAGCAAAGTGCCATTGCCAAGGCCACCCGGGCTCCTTCCGAATCCTGTGCCCCTTTGCTCTTTGCTGCCTCGTTTTTTTTTCCTCGCCGTTTCTATTCCCCGACCTACCAATCCCAGGTATTAACTTCATATGCGTTTATTTGAGTCTCCTACGTGACGTCGTCCTTTGGGAGCGCAACCATTGCCACCTGCCTGCGCTCTCACTTGTCCCGCGACGCTTCGGCGCCCCAGCACATCTAACCGTGTCACCCGTCAATTCCAGTCCGGTTCGCAGTTTAAGCGAAGTGTCCACTCGGCCCAGGCGCCCGAAAGGCGACGGGCATGCTCTCTGTGGGAGAAGGAGCCTCCCCTTCCGCGCGCTTTCGGCACCAAGCCCGCCAGGCCAAGACCGGGGACCAGCACCCACACAGGCGGCCCACCCCGGATACCAAGGGGCTGGATAGCGGGACGGGCAGGGATCTGGCCGCCTGGGTCCTTGTCTTGGATCCCGGTGGAGCATTCAGACGAGCGAGAGGAGGAACTGCCTGCCGCCTGCCACGGCTTATCAGATGCTATCCATTGCGCATCAACCGCTCAAGGAGGTGCTAGTCACGGCCTTTGCCGTTGATATCATTTGCATAGATGGATGCCGTGTCCACCACTTCGCTGCCATGCCTGCGGCGACCAACCCCCCACCGATCGCCCGCCATAGGCCCACAAAGCTTGAGTTACACCCTGTTTCGCCCACGGTTTCAACCTCACCTGTCTGCCTCCTTCCCCTTTCTGTGTACCGCCAACATGAAACCAAAGGCTGGCGACAGCCTCAGCCTCTCACTGGCATTGCCCTTCCGTCTGCCGACAGTGCTGAATGACTTGCAGATAACATCACCTCACATCCATTCAAGCATGGTCCAATGATAAAAAGTGACTGTCGAATCCCTTGACTACCTTCCTTCATTGAGCAGCTTCTGAATTTTCATTCGCCAGATCTCATGGCTCCCCAGCTTTGGTCCACCGCCTCTGCGAACAGGAAATCAGCGAATTCCAACCTCCAACGTCGTAGTGGCCCAAAATCGCGTGTCATAACTCGTTCCAACCGTTCCCAAACATCAAACATACCCTTATATCCAAAGAAATACTCTGCGCAGAGACCCTATATAGCTCGAATACCAAGATCGAGAGAATCCAACCCGCCCATACATAAAAGCAATTCATAGCAAAAGTCGAAGCACTATTGCAAGGAAGAGGATAGCCAGCATGACCAAAGCAAGAAGCATGAAGAAACGCTAAAAGCACTCGAGAAATTTTTTAGAGCCCATATGTATCAAACCCATCAAGCATCAGTCCGTCCGAGCTCGCTGTCATGGTTGTCGGGACGAGCCGGCGGCGATAATCCAGGTGGCCGCTGCTACTGCCCGCGAGCCCGAGGTCGACGTCATCGCCCCCAGAGCTTAGCGACTCGTCGCTCATGCTTAGGACGCTCTGGGGTGCCGGCGTCCCGTCGAGTTCGCCGCCAGGGCCGATCCGGAACCCTGAAAGGTCCCACGAGTCTGGTGACCAACCCCCGGAGGACGCCGAAACGGGTGTTTCCGCAAACGAAATCCCTGGGCCACCGTAAATGGCGTCATACACGTTGACCTGGCCGCCGTCCATAGATCCCAGGAGCGCCTCCCACTCGGCTGCCGAAACCGTCGATGAAGGAATCTTCTGACCATTATGACTGGCGGCCGCGTACAGCGCCTGCTGTTGTGCAGAAGCTGATGTTACTGCAGGTTGGTGGCGGGGCCGTGACTGGGCGGGGGATGGTGGTTGTGAACGTTGTGAAGACCCCCCGAGTGACAGGAAGTCGAGACTCTGGCCCCCGTTTGGTTTCGGCTGTGGAGATGCCCTCGCCATCATGTGTGCTTGCGAAAGAGACACCCGATGATCTCGCTTCGAGAGCTGCGGTCCTTCGTATTTACTGACACTGTCGAATGAAGACCGAGAATTCGATCGTGGCAGTTCCGGCCGGGACACATTTTGCGGCAGCGTCATCCTCCGCATTCGATCGTGCTGCAATATCAAATCAGTCTCACTCATGCTGGCGCCGGCGAGACGGCCCAGTGAACAAGACCCTTTCCTCGGGTGGGCCTGGGTCGACGAAGCGCTGTGAACAGCGGCCGGGGGTGATGCCCTCTGCTGAGACTGAACAGAAATCACACTCTCAGGACTGTTGCTCGGTGGAGTAGGAAGCGCCGAGGGCTGCTGGGCGTCGTCCACCGTGACTAGCGCGTTGGACACACGTTTGAAATCGTAAGAGCCGGGTGCCTTGGCCTTCCCAACGATTTTAATGACAGCATTGACAAGGCTTTCCGTATCCTTCAGGAGCTTGCTGTCCTGCTTGAGATCGATGCCTCGGTAAAGCAGCTCCATGCCGCAGATGATGAGAAGATCCGATTTGTTGAGGCAGAAGGAGAAGGACATATTCCTCTCCTCGAGAAGCTGAACAATCTGGATCATATGCTTGCTCGATTCGCTCACAGCGAAGATGGCTGGCGCAGCTTTGGACCCGAGGCTCGAGCCGAGTGCGGGTCGGAAGATGAGCGTTCGGATGTAGTAGTAAGCAAAAGCCTAGAAAGAATGATATTAGTATATCATGTCACCGGAAGCATGCGACAGTCCTTGCGCAGGATCTTTTACTTACCAGCAGCGGGGATCGGCTTCCCGTAACGTCAGTTGACGGCTTATCTTGCTTGAATGTGAGCTTGAGATGCTGAGGTAGCTTCTCGGACCAGTCATCAATCTCGGCAGCAAGGGCAGTCATCTTTTGCAGGGACAGTTCTTGTGACGTTGAAGCTGGATAGATCTTCTCCAGCACTGTTGCGAGAATACGCGCAGCTTTGAACAGCGCAATAGCGCTAGACAGCCGCGTGTATTCGCCAGGGAGTGTAGGTTGAAAGCCCTTCTCCGTCACATACTCGTCATCCGTGTCGGATGGATACTCGGCATGAATGTCGTCCTCGTTCAGCAGCTTGGGGAGGCCAAGGATTGCTGCCGAGAAGCTGAGGGTTGAGGCTGAAGTCAGTATTAAGTAGCCAGGAAAAGGTCAGCACCGCACGAGACAATAATACGTACCAGTCAAGCGTGTAGAGCGTCCAAAACACCTTCTTCCGGGTCTCGATGGTAAGCGCTCCAAAGGAAAAGCGCTTCTGGCTTTGGTGAAGACCAAGCCTGTGGGACAGACTGACGGCGATGCCCTTGTAGTGTTGGAGGCGCTTATAATCCGCCCGGACGGTGCAGAACATGAGTGCCAAAATAAGGCATTGCAGGGTGAGGATGGTGTTGTCCATCATGACGGCCTCAAGCGACTTCTGCCACTGCTGCTCACAAATCGCAATCTGATCGAGATCGGGGTTTTCTCCCGAGAGAGCGGCGATGCTGAACACCAGATATAGCTGCGCAAGTTTGTGGTGGCTTTTCACCTTTTCGGGGTCTGCCACAAACTCTTCGTAGATAACGAGGAAGGTCGGCTTGTGCAGAACGGGGAAGAGAGCAGCCCATTCCTGGAAGAAGACATTGACGCAACGATCGGAAAACAGACGTGGCGGAACACGAAGCTGCTCGGGGGGTGGGTTTGCTACGAGAGGGTAGCAGCCTTGGATGTGGAGAAACGCTTCGGTGTTGAAGTCTGCGCACGATTTGCCGCTCTCCTGCATCTTGCGCTTGAACGCCTCTGTGATCGCATGGCATTAGCTTGGTTGGCACACAAAACGCACCCAGTGAGAGAGGCGAAAATGCACATACCGATAAACGCTCGGCCGCTTGAAGCGCCCATGAAATATGAGTCGGAGTTCTCGACGCCCAGAAGGAGAGGAGACGCCTGGACACGGAAAGTGTCCTCCTTTGGAGGGGTGACGCCGTGGAAGTCTCTCCTAGGGTCCTGAGGCGGTGTCGTGCAGCTGGCGGGCGCCTCAGTTATGCGACGGCTGTTTCCGTGCATCCGTGACAGCATGTCGATCTTCTCATCCTTTTCATCCAGGAGGTCCTTGAGATCACGGACTTCGGCCTCGAGTGCTCTTACACGCTCCTCAAGCGACTCTGTGTACCCCCTGGGGAAAGCCCTCCTGCTCAGTTTATCGCTCGTCCGACACTCGAACCCGACATTGGCACACTGCGTGCACGTCGGCCTTATACCATCACACCGAATTTTCTGCCGTAATGTTAGACACAGAGGTTCCCGAATGATGCGCAAAGGCGGTATAAGACACTTACCTTGCTTCGGCAGCGGTCGCAGGCCTGAGCGATACGGCTCTGCGAGCTCGTGCCCACCTTGATCACTTTCATGGGCAGAATCCCAGGCATGGTGGAAATCGAGGCCTCCGCCGTCGTTGACGCGCAGGCTATGATATGGGGGAGGCGTGTTGGCTCAGGAGGTCGAAGAAGTGTGCTGGATCGGATGGAACAAACGTCGCCGATAGCGTTTGTGTGGGGAAGATCGGATTTGGGCTCTACAACTCAATGTCGTCGAATGCGCGTGGGTGGAGATTCGGTCGTTTTGACGGCGGGCGTTGGCAATGCTTGCGCGGGTATCGTATGATGTAGAGTTGCGTTCAGGCCAAGGGCTAGTTCTGATTTGTTCCGTTAAGCTTCGGCGCGGGGAAGGTCGAGGAAGGAGGCGGCTGGCTCCAGCTGTCTGGGTCGCAGCCACAGACAATAAATGACCGTGCGTAACGGGGAAAACGGCCAAGGCTGACGGGCGGGAAGGTCGGAGTCGGGCGCGTGGAGAGGGCGAGGAAGACGAAAGATTAGAATACTGTGCGGCGGTCTTGGGCAGAAAAGCAAGCCATCAAGCTCCCAAAAGACAAGGTTTGAAAGGGGGGAAGAGGTAGGAAAGGAAGGAGTGTTGGGCTGGCTGGTCAAGATTGTGTGGTGGGCGTTCAGGTGGGTAAAAAGGGATCAATTTGCGGAGAAGCGCAGGCATCATCCGGGGGAGGGAAGGTGCGCTAGCGGAAGAAATGGGGCATGACATCCATTTCGAAGTTGGTTGTATGCCCCTGTAGCCTGCGCCCAATCAGCTCGCAGCAAATGTGCTGTGCCGTTTTCATTCTGATCAGAAACATGAAGGCAGCCCGGCCGTCTCGCGACCTGAAAGGGGATTGATTGCAGATGAAAAGTCCACCCACCACTAAGCACATAATCTGGTCTGCTGCTAAACCTTCCCCAAGTGTGCACACGTTTCTTGGATACTCTCCGCCTACTGAGATGCCTACCGCTTATGTATGTGTCTATCAGGTACCTCTATGTACCTATCTACTAGCCTAGGTACCTGATAGGAGCCTTGCAGACAGTGGATATATGTGCAAATGCAAGATAGATGGGAAGCAAGGGACAACCGCGCTACATTCTATGTCCCTCAGAAGCTCGAATAAAATCATCCAATGGATTCTGTGTCTGAGGAAGACATGATACCGCGTGAGAAGCTCCATCTGGATATTACATAGGCAGGTTGCCAGGTGCTTCTTGCGTCGCCGTCGATCATCACAGCCGCATGGCAGTGAGGTCAACGTGCAAACCCGCCTCGTGACAATCTCCAGTTCCCAGACATGCCATCGAAAAGATGGTTGAACATTATGGAAAGACCCGTTTGATTGAACACACGAACAGGCGCTCCGCCACAAGCACCAAACGTTGGCGCTCGGACGACATGGAGGTCGGGGTCGTCGAACAACACGCCACACATCTTGCACCATGCGGCGCATCGCGATTTCTGGGTTGCTCGCCCTCGCCCTCCTACGACGGGATCCAAAGAACTGGAAGTGCAGGACTAGGTAGGTACATAGGAGTCTAGCGCATCTGGGTTCCTGGGTTCCTGGGTTTCTGGGAAGGAGTCGGGTCATACAGGGTGGCAGGATGGCTTGGCTCAACCACTCTCGGATGGAATACAACAGCCCGGCACGTTGTGGTTTTGGTCCGGCAGTGCTTGGTCGTCGTCACAGCATCAGAATTAGGCCTAGATTCGTCTCCAATCTTGCGCATCCTCCTGTGGCGCCCAGGCTTGCTATCGCCAATCATGTTGCCACGGTGGTCGACTCGGCAAATAGAGTGCGGGCGTTGTGGGGAACTTGGCGACCGTGTCGTGGGTGTCCTTCTGGCACACGCAGCACAGACACGTTCGCAAACATTCAGATCACCACCGTCTACATGTACCGTTTGCGGAAGTGCGCAAGCTTATTTCCCCAGGAGCGGTGTATGACCGCCCACCAACAGCCCAGCCTGGAGGCCGTGGATGTTGATCACCAAGCATTGATCCCCAGCAACTTGCATGCGTTCAGACTTGACACCCACTGCACCCGTAAAGTCCAAGTATGCTGACGTCGGGCGACCAGTAAGCTGTACTGAGCGAGATAGGCAAGTTGGTTCATCGGCGTCATGTCCGAATTTCCAGCGGCGGGAGGCCCTGTGACTGCAGATCTTTTCCACGTCCAAGGTCGGCATTTTCTCGCAATGGCGCTCGCTATCTCCTCGCAGTTTGGATTCCGTCATTCAGACGGAAGGCCTACCCTTTCTAACCAACGCATGGTACATCTCGCGCCGTTCAAGGCCATAGGTATGGCGGTTGAATTCGTCTGAATATCTACGCTGCGGCTGCCCCCGGATTCGAGGGAGAGATCTAGGTTGATTACCGGGATCCCCAAGCCTTGCACGAAAACAGAACGGGGCATTCCATATTGCTTCTGCTCCTGTTATGCCCGAAATCCAGGCTCGCCATTGCAGACCAGGGAAAAAAGCTTCGTGTTGGCAGGCACAAACCGCATCGCGAATCACTAGCCTCGTCCATGACCCAGGTTCCCCGCATCTGGGGCCCCAGACCAACCTGGTAAAAGTGGTCCGGCGGTAGGTACCGGCGGCACCACGCATAGGCACCTCTGGGGTCCAGGTTTCGGTATCGGCGCCTGAGACATTTCATGGTGAGTCGCCGAGTATACCTAGGAGCATATATCACAAGTAATAGCAAGAACGGTCGTCTTTTGATATGTATTCGAGGTGTTCCCACCATGGCCACAGGTGATAGGCATGTACCTGGTAGTTATCCAGTGACTCGGCTTGTTTTGCCACATTGCGACTCTCGGTCAGATTCACACAGGAGACAATAGTGCAGACATCTCTCGCCTTTTACATTCATTACATCCGGCGAGACCGTGAGCAGACTGCCAGGAGCACCGCTTGGCCTCCATGTATGCGGTATCGACCTATGGTAACATCTCACCTGAATGCATGCCGCGCTACAAATGTTCCTGTTGGGTTTCTGGCGGTTAGGCTGTCGGCTGCCCACGTGGAAATCTGTAAGGGTACCACCCTAGCCCCGGCTCAACTGAAGTCGGTTGACCCCGAGCCAGGAGCTAAGTCATTTTGGGAAATTTCCGTTGGCCCGAGGTACGCTACCACGCTTTCGTCCTCGAGGAGGTGTGCCTTCTGTGCAAGGGTTGGTGCAGGTCAGCAGCGCGCCTAGAAGCCCATACCGAAGACGACGAGGAAGATTGGGGAAGAAAAAACAGCACATATAGCAGCTGGAAAAGGACGCCATCCCCAGAGAGACCTAGCTCGTAGGATTCGATGCATGCACGAATGCACAGGTGCGTGGGTCTAGGCTCGCGTGGACAATGGAGGTTGCAAGATTTGTTGGGGGAAATGGTTCGATGTCCAAGCAAGGAAACGGGGTATGTGTTACCTCCAATTCGAGGCAACCTATAGCGCTTCGTAGCACCTTTGCCTCTGCAACCCTTAGTCGGGACGCCGCCTCCCGACAAGTCGGTCGAACCGCCAGGGGGTCGTGCGTGTTCGGGAGGTCATCGGACCCCGCCGGCGCCGATATTCGCTGCGCCTGGGTCTCTAGCTGTTGTTGGACCAGCACCACTGCCCGAAGCCGGAAGACTGCGTGGTGCGCATGCGATGTCGTGACCGCCTCGAGATCCTTGACTGAATCCGTGACGTCCTCGGCCTCCCAGAACAGCCTCATCCGCCTGCTGCCGTCGGTGAGTTGTAGAATGTGGATCCCCAAGCCGTCTTCTTCGTTGAGAGCAAGGAGGTGGGCGAACGGACACTCCCACCGGACATCCCCGCTCTCCAACTGGGCGATTTTGATAGTGGGAGACTCGGCAAAGATATAGGCCTTTGCCCTAGCGAGCGGGTCATCCTCCGGCACCTCGACCGGTAGAACGACCATCTCTGGGCCCCCTTCCGGATCCACAAACCCATAGCTGAAAAGCATCTCGGCTGGCGCCTTCTCGTTACCGTATGAGATTGTGATTTCCGTGCCGACCGCGACATCGGTGTCGCGGCTCAGGCACAGATCGACGCTGCCGTCGTCGGGATTTTGTGTATACGACGCCGTCCATTGTCGAGAATGGTTGATCATGTCTATGCATGGCACCATCGATGAGCCTCCGCGGGGGAGTTCCATGCATCTAGAACGATACCAGGCGTCCAGAACGACCCAGTCCCGGAGCTTTACAGGACCGTTCTCCCACAGAATCTCGTTCCATGTCGCCAGTGCTGAAGACTTCTCCTTCAGGTCGTCAAATTCCCTCTCCAAAGCGAGAAGCTTTGCTTGGACCGCCGTCTATGATCCGGGTCAGTGTATGGACCACATTGGTAACGAGGTGGGCAGGTAGAGATGAGTCACTTCAAGTTGGCAGAGATGGTGGAGGACAGAAAGAAAAGGGGTACCTCAAGTGATGTGCCATTTAGGAGGAGACGCTCAGCGTCGGACCACAGAGTAGGTAAGGGTACTGCTCGAGGCAGGTACTTGATGTATTGCGTCCATGGATTCGATAGCCCTTGATTCTTTTCACTCTTCCATACTAAAACAAGCTGAACTAGAAGAAAGAGAAGAATATCTCCCCTCGAGGACTGAGCCGAGATGCAGCTGCGCGTCAGCATCATTCAGTGTCTCGAGGCTACCGACCGTCTCGTCGGGTTACACGCGTTGGGCTCTCTACCTGACCGCCTGCTGCATCAAGGAGTTCCCGGAATCTCCGGTCTTCCTTTGCATACTCATCCACTGCTTCTGCATTCAACACCAGCTCCGCCGGAACTGAGACAATGCGGTGGGTTGGCGTGGTCCTGTCGGGTGGAGGTTGGAAGGATCTCTCGGCCACGAGACCAAAGCCCTTCCCATTGACCTGAGATATGCGAGCGCCGTCGAAGATGACACTATTGAAACGAGCCCATATCGGCAAGGATTCGATAGGCAGCTCAGTTTGTGACATGATGATCTTGGGTTGCTTGGAGTAGGATCTGGAATCGTTGCGAGTTGCGTGACCGGAGGGGTAGTTGTGTGGTGAGGGATCAAAGTTAGAGTGTCATGTCCTCCGGCTCGATCAAAATCCAAACATAAGGCTTCCGCGCATTAGTGGCAGGCGCCGGTTTGGTGTGAAGATGCCTGGTCGCATCTGTCAACTGTGCGCAATATCATGGCCCCTTACGGATCAAGACTCTCGGCGGCGCATTTCAACCGCTGTAAGGCTCCATTCTAGAGTGGGCCCCATCAATTTGATCGCGGGCTTGTGGATCCACTGCTTCTGCCCCGCCAGGAACTTGCGCAACCAGGAGGGGCACAGCACTCGAGATTTTGCGATCGCGAACCTCTTCGGCTTCCTTGGCTGGGCACCCTCGCCAGACATGGACCAGAATTACCCGTGCTCGCAGCAGCTGACCCTCGAATTTCTGCGCGCATATGGGAGAGCGGACTCGATCGATTGCCCAGAATGCCTCGCGACCCCTTGATTGGCCTGGTTGGCAAGCCCAGCGCGGGCAAGTCAAGCACACTCAACTCTCTTACAGACGCAACCTCCAAAGTCGGTCGGTAAAACTACATCGCACCCTTGTCTGCTCCCTGCTTCGCGGGCGATCCTGCCTCCGGGCCAGATGTCTCGGCTGCCCATATATTTGCCCCTATACTCTCTCCTTGTCCGTGCATCCCCTATTGTCGCGCCTCTGTCGCATGTGTACGACGCGAGCCACCCAAAGCGTATTGCCTCCGGAACAGGCAGCTGATATCACCGTTTACAGGAAACTTCCCGTATGGAAACCAACCCACGAATACCCACCCTCAGACTATATCTGGGCCCATATACTTTCAGCATATGAGAGGTGCATTGCCCACAGCTTCACTGACAACCCCCGATTCTTTTCCATGGATACTTGACGCAGCTTCACAACTATCGATCCTCAAAGAGCGATCGGCTACCTTCAGATCGACTGCGCTTGCGCCAGGCATGGCGTCCAGGAGCGTTGCAAGCCTAATCACGGCTCGTGCGTCGACGGCCGGCGGTCGGTACCTATCGAGCTCCTCGACGTCGCTGGGCTCGTCCCTGGGGCTCACCAAGGAAAAGGGTTGGGCAACAAGTTCCTCGACGATCTACGGCACGCTGATGCGCTGATACACGTGGTGGACGCGTCGGGGACAACAGACGCTGAAGGAAAGAACACGCGTGGCTACGATCCTTCGGTCGACATTGCCTGGTTGCGCTCTGAGGTGGTTGCTTGGATCAGAGGAAACCTGATGGAGAAATGGGGCAGCATCCGCCGCCGCCATGTCGCGGCCAAACACACGGCCGTCGAGACTCTGCAGGCGCAGTTTAGCGGTTACGGCAGTACGGCGCGCGTAGTGGCGCGCACCCTAGACCGTCTGGCGCTCAAGGAGCCGCTCGAAAGCTGGGATGAGGCCACGATCGACCGTGTGGTCAACGCATTTACCGACGAAAAGTTCCCGACGGTGATCGCACTGAACAAGATCGACCACCCTGATTCGGACAAGAACGTGGCCAAGATCGCAAAGATGCAGGACCCCAACCGCATCATTCTATGCTCGGCCGTGTCGGAGATATTCCTGCGCAAGATGACTAAACAGGGCTACATCCGCTACACTGAGGGCAGCGAATTTGTCGACACAAGGGAGGATCTGATCGAGGCCGGTGACCCCGAAGGCGGCGGGCTCAAGGAGCTCGATGACAAGAACCGGAACCGAATAGAGAACCTTCGAGATATGGTCCTGTACCGGTTCGGTTCGACGGGCGTTGTGCAGGTGCTGTCCAAGGCCGCCGAAGTGCTCGGCCTTGTGCCCGTGTATCCGGTACGGAACACAACCACATTCGGGTCGGGTGCTTCCGAGTCCAAGTTTGTCTTTCGGGACTGCGTTCTGGTCAAGAAGAACTCTACGGTTGGCGAGGTCGCAAGGAAATGCGTCGGCGACGCACCCGTGGCCTACATTGAAGGTGTTGGGGGCATGAGGGTATCTGAGGACGATTTGATTGCGGTTGGTAAGAATGATGTAAGTCTCCCCCTCCCTTTGCCACACCGCGTAAGCACTTGCGATTCTCCAATACCTAGGCAGTGGATTTGGCCGGCTGATGTGCCATAGATCCTTTCTTTCAAGATGGGGCGCGGATGAGTGGGCTGGAATCGATATTGTGCAGAGTGTGCCAGGCGATGATAAGACGTGAAGAGAATAGTTATCCCAGTGAAAGGTCTCCTGGCATATTGCAGGGAGAGCATATGCATCGCACGTGGAGCAACAGCCTTTTCAATGTCACGTCTGGTCCTCAGGCAATCTCAGATCGGTCAGGTCATAATTTCTCAAGTGGTCCTCTAATCCTTGGCTCTGATTCAGCTACACTACACTCGATAGAGGCTAGCTAATAGATTTGAAGGGATGAGCGCGGATAGCGTGGTGGGCGGTTGGGAAAACATGGCGGCTGGAGGCGTGGGCGGAATGATGTCATCTTAGCGACAGATGAGCGCTAGCAACCGACTCGACAATTATTCGTTGACCCAATTGAGGGAGGTTCCCGCAGGGCCACAGTCCGCAGCTGGTCAAACTGATAGGTCAACAAAGCGCGTCAGGATCCGAGCGGCACATCAGTGCACAGATATCACACCTTGTGAGCAGTTTGATCATGCACGTTGAGGTTGGTGAAGGGTATCAGAATTAAGGTGACGAGAAAAGCTATGTCGCGTATCGTCTTATGCTCTCGGCCAGACCCAGAGTCTTGAGTTCCCCCAGTGCCCCGAACCAGAAAAAGGTCGCGTTCGCATGAGAAGAAAAACGAAACAAAAAAGGCTAGAATGGACGAGATGACAAGGTAGAAACAAGAGACAAAACGACGCATCCGCGCAGGCCGAAAAGTTCCGTCCGTCTCCGATCCACAATCCACCCAGCGAAGGATAGAGCCATGGTAAGATGAAAGTTGGGCCTTGTTGTTCACTTGGCCAGCCACGTCATAATGAGGGCTGCAGCGACCCACTCCCACATCGGGGAGCTTGCAGGGTGTCAGCCGAGGTCGTTCATCGCCGATGCATCATTGGTCGGTAGTGGCTGGGCCCCCAATCGCGCATGACGCCTGCCGACCAGAGTTCGGTGCCGGTTTTTTTCGCTGCAGGTTACGGCGCTTGTGGTTGACGAGTCGGGCGGATGTCGAATGCAAGCTCCCAAGTAATCGAATGCAACATCGGGTCGGCAGAGGGGATCGTCGACAGATGGAACCGCTCGCCGGCGCGCCCTCTAGTACTTCAAGATGATGTACAGGGCGTGGATGATACCGGGCAGGTAACCTAGGATAGGCATGTTAGTCGTGAGTCGCCTTGTCGCGTCAAAGGCCGAGGGAGCGGGAACGCACCGAGAAGGGTCAGCAGGATGTTGATGAGCAGGTCGGCACCGCAGCCACGCTCCAGGAAGACACCCAGAGGGGGGAGGATGACGGCAAGAATGATCTTGCAAATGTCGCTGTGAGAGGTCGTGTCAGCATGCTTTCGCTTTTCAGGGAGGCTCTTGCAGCGCGATCAGGAAATAGACGAGTAGGCGCGGTGCGAAGAAGACATACCTGGCGGTGAAAGGCATGTTGGCGGGTGTGTCGGTGTCGGGTTGTGTTTGTTTGTGTTTGGGTGATTGGTGTTCTGCGGCGAGGAAAGTCGTCATATGATTGTTATGGGGAGGGATGAATTTGTTTTTGCTGTCACGGACGGCGGGCGTGGACGTTTTTAAATAATTGGGAACCTAGATGGAATCGGCATGCGGAAATGGCCTGACCCTGGTCCTTCGGACTGTGGAATGAATGGGTGCTGCTTGCTGGGGGAGGACTCCCAAGAGGTGCCACCGCAAGCGCATACGCACACACCAGACACACACCCACACATACACCTTCCCCCCCGGCAGCGCGCAGCTTTGCTTAGGTAGCCAGTGCCACTCGGGAGCCTTGGCTTTGCGTGCTGCCGAAGTACCGCCCCGTTTGAGCACCGGAGGAGCAAGATTGAACGGTCGATAGGAGGACGGCAAATGCGTCATACATATTGCTGGGCAGAGAAGACGGGACGGTAATGCGCTAGGAGGGAGGGCCGGCCGCCCTGGCCCGCTAATGCCCCCGACCACCTACAGATTATCTTGTCCTAATTCCCTTTGTGCCCTTCGATCCCGCCAGCCGGCGCCAAGTGCAGCCCTACGCATCGAGGTCAGAGGTGAAACAAGCTCGACTAGCCCAGCTTCTGGCGTGAGCTCTCGGCCTAAATCCTTGCATCATATGCGTAAACTAAAAGCTCATTGGGGGGGGGGTCGGGGTCGACGGGAGGG